AAATTTACCTGATCAGGTGACAGGTAAACTATTTTGAACCGGACATTGATCGGTCTATTCAAAGTTATTTTCTTACATTTCAGCGGTTTGCATCTAATTAATTTAGTTAAAAAGATTTAAATTATCAGAAATACGTTTACAAATATGATTTGATGAAAAAATTAAAAAGGTGAAAATGAAAAATCGTCATAACCACGTTGTTTGAACCAGAGACATGTCTCTGTTTGAACTAGTACACGTGTGCGCAGGTGTGAAATTTAATTATGCATCCTAATTTCTTCAAAAAATGCTTAAATTGTCATTGATACATTTATCTCACGTTTATTTCGAATATTTTCTTGAAGAAATAACGTAGAATGAGCTACTTACACTCATTCATGCTTTGCAAACGTACACGGAATTTACGTATCCGTCTCTGGTCCATGTTTTACCATTGTCAAGATAACATCCCGTTTAGATTTAAAAAACGAAAGTAAAGTTTTTGACAACGTTATTTTGCACAAATAAAGAGTCTAAGCAGATATAAGTACGCTGATGTTGTACACTTCGAATGATGCACTGCCAATTAAATAGTTAACGTCAGAACTTCGAATTTGAATCAAAGAAAGTTTAATATCGTTTTTTTTTTTAATGTCAATCATTGGGATGGCCAACTCGGCAACTGATTACCATAATTGCCTTTTATTTATTTAGTCTTAAGGGATTAAAATCGGGATAATATATATAAAATGTCCGGCTGGCTAAAAATAATTTTGGAAGCCCTGTAATAGAGACAAGAAAAAATAGCATCATCAAAATAATTATAGCGTCGCGGAAATAATTATAGTGTCATGGGAAAAAATTATAGCGTCACGGTGCCGTGACGCTAAAACGGCCTGGGGAGATCACTGACGAAAAAACAAAATTATTTAATTCTGTATCAGAAAATGCATTCAGAATTAAGAATATGATTTTTGTTGAGCCTGCGACTTTTGTCGCAGAAAGCTCGACATAGGGATAGTGATCCGGCGGCGGCGTTAGCTAACTTCTTAAAAGCTTTATACTTTAGAAGGTGGAAGATCTGGATGCTTCATACTTTGTTTATGGATGCCTCATGTTACGAAGTTTCTGTCAGTCACATGTCCAATGTCCTTGACCTCATTTTCATGGTTCAATGACTACTTGAAAAAAAAGTTAAGATTTTTTGTAATGTTAAATTCTCTCTTATTATAAGTAATAGGATAACTATATTTGGTATGTGCGTACCTTGCAAGGTCCTCATGCCCGTCAGACAGTTTTCACTTGACCTCGACCTCATTTCATGGATCAGTGAACAAGGTTAAGTTTTGGTGGTCAAGTCCATATCTCAGATACTATAAGCAATAGGTCTTGTATATCCGGTGTATGGAAGGACTGTAAGGTGTACATGTCCAACTGGCAGGTGTCATCTGACCTTGACCTCATTTTCATGTTTCAGTGGTTATAGTTAAGTTTTTGTGTTTTGGTCTGTTTTTCTTATACTGTATGCAATAGGTCTACTATATTTGGTGTATGGAATGATTGTAAGGTGTACATGTCTAGCTGGCAGGTGTCATCTGACCTTGACCTCATTTTCATGGTTCAGTGGTCAATGTTAAGTTTTTGAGTTTTGGTCTTTTTTTCTAATACTATATGCAATAGTTCAACTATATTTGGTGTATGGAAATATTTTATGATCTATATGTCAGTCACACAGGTTTTATTTGACCTTGACCTCATTTTCAAGGTTCATTGCTCAATGTTTAGTTTTTATACGACCGCAAAAAAATTTTGTGGTCGTATATTGGTATGACGTTGGCGTCGTCGTCGTCGTCGTCGTCGTCGTCGTCGTCCGGCGTCGTCGTCGTCCGGCGTCGTCGTCCGAATACATATTGGTTTTCGCACTCTAACTTTAGTTTAAGTGAATGGATCTTTTTGAAATTTGACCATAAGGTTAAATACCACAAAAGGAAGGTTGGGATTGATTTTCGGGGTTATGGTACCAACAGTTAAGGAATTAGGGGCCAAAAAGGGGCCAAAAATGAGCATTTTCTAGTTTCCAGACAATAACTGTGGAAGGGTGTATGGATCTCTCTGAAATTATACTACAAGTTTCCATACCACAAAGGGATGGTTAGGATTTGCTTTGGGGGGTTATGGCTCAAACCGTTTAGGAATTAGGGGCAAAAAAGGGGGAAAAACAAGGTTGTCCTGGTTAATGGACAAATACTTTAGTACAAAACATAATTTAAAGCAGTGTAAGGGAGATAAATCAAATACATCATTGAAATTATCTCCCTTACACTGCTTTTAAATTATGTATAAAGTAATGGTTAATGAACAATAAAGATAATCTAAAACAGTGTAAGGGAGGTAATCCAAATACAACGTTTTGGTTACTTCCCTTACACTGCTTTTAAATTATGTTTAAAGAAATGCATATTTATAAAGGAAGACCAGTAAAAATATCTGCAAATGTTTTCATCTTTTTTTTTTACAAAAAAATCCATATGAAAGATTTGACACTATATTTTTATTAATTCTATTATAAAATAGATTAAGTTAGCACTATGGTAAATTTAAATGGGTAATTATGGTTGCCAACTCCATTGGAAATTTGAATTGAGATTATGACCATATCTTGAGGGAAAGAATTTTTTTGGGGGAAAAAGGGGGGGGGGGGGGGATAAAAAGAAATTGTGGGGGGCCAATTTTTTCTCATTTCAGATTTCAGAAATTAAAAAGAATTATTCTTCAAATATTATTTTTTTTTCAAATTTCAAATATTGAAAAATTTCAAGAAGTAATCTTTAATTGCACAGTATGGCGCATTAGATTTGTAAAATCTTTGATCACATTTATTTATTTGTTATGCCGAATCTAACAGTGTATTTAGATTTTTAATTTTGGGTCCAGTTTTCAAATTGGTCTACATTAATGTCCAAAGGGTCCAAAATTAAACTTTGTTTGATTTTAGCAAAAATTGAATATATGAGGTTCTTTGATATGCTGAATCTAAACATGTATTTAGATTTTTGATTTTTGGCCCAGTTTTCAAGTTGGTCCAAATTGGGGTCCAAAATTAAACTTTGTTTGATTTCAACAAAAATTGAATATATGGGGTTCTTTGATATGCTGAATCTAACCATGTATTTAGATTTTTTATTTGTGGACCCTGTTATCTAATTGGTTCATATTGAGGTCAAAAGGGTCCAAAATTAAACTTTGTTTGATTTCATCTAAAATTGAATTATTGGGGTTCTTTGATATTCCAAATCTAACCCTGTATTTAGGTTTTTTAATTTTTGGGTCCTGTTTTTAAATTGGTCTACATTGAGGTCCAAAGGGTCCAAATTAAACTTAGTTTGATTTTAACAAAAATTGAATTCTTGGGGTTCTTTGATTTGCTGAATCTAAACATGTGTTTAGATTTTTGATTATGGGCCCAGTTTTCAAGTTGGTCCAAGATAGGGTCCAGTATTTAAACTTTGTTTGATTTCAACAAAAATTGAATATATGGGGTTCTTTGATATGCTGAATCTAAACATGTATTTAGATTTTTGATTATGGGCCCAGTTTTCAAGTTGGTCCAAATTGGGGTCCAAAATTAAACTTTGTTTGATTTCAACAAAAATTGAATATATGAGGTTCTTTGATATGCTGAATCTAACCATGTATTTAGATTTTTTATTTGTAGGCCCCGCTATCAAATTGGTTCATATTGAGGTCAAAAGGGTCCAAAATTATACTTTGTTTGATTTCATCGAAAATTGAATTATTGGGGTTCTTTGATATGCCAAATCTAACCGTGTTTTTAGATTTTTAATTTGGGTCCCGTTTTTTAAATTGGTCTTCATTGAGGTCCAAAGGGTCCAAAATTAAACTTAGTTTGATTTTAACAAAAATTGAATTCTTGGGGTTCTTTGATATGCTGAATCTAAACATGTGTTTAGATTTTTGATTATGGGCCAAGTTTTCAAGTTGGTCCAAGTTGGGGTCCAAAATTATACTTTTTTTGATTTCAACAAAAATTGAATATATGGGGTTCTTTGATATGCTGAATCTAACCATGAATTTAGATTTTTTATTTGTGGGCCCCGCTATCAAATTGGTTCATATTGAGGTCAAAAGGGTCCAAAATTAAACTTTGTTTGATTTCATCAAAAATTGAATTATTGGGGTTTTTTGATATTCCAAATCTAACCGTGTATTTAGATTTTTAATTTTAAGTCCCGTTTTTTAAATTGGTCTACATTAAGGTCCAAAGGGTCCAAAATTAAACTTAGTTTGATTTTATCAAAAATTGAATTCTTGGGGTTCTTTGATATGCTGAATCTAAACATGTGTTTAGATTTTTGATTATGGGCCCAGTTTTCAAGTTTGTCCAAGTTGGGGTCCAAAATTAAACTTTGTTTGATTTTAACAAAAATTGAATATATGGGGTTCTTTGATATGCTGAATCTAACCATGTATTTTGATTTTGGACATTGGACCATAATAGGTAAATTAAAAAAATTCAAGTTCTTAGACCACATTCTTTCTGTGTCAGAAACCTATGCTGTGTCAAATATTTAATAACAATCCAAATTCAGAGCTGTATCAAGCTTGAATGTTGTGTCCATACTTGCCCCAACTGTTCAGGGTTCGACCTCTGCGGTCGTATCAAGCTGCGCCCCAGCGAAGCATTTTATTGTGTTTTGGTCTGTTTTTCTTAAACTATAAGCAATAGGTCAACTATATTTGTTGTATGGAAGAATTGTTAGCTGTACATGCCTGCCTAGCATGGTTCATCTGACCTTGACCTCATTTTCATGGTTCATTGGTCAATGTTTAGTTTACTTGGTTAATGTTAAGTTTATGTGACAGTTGTAATAAAGCTTTATATTTAGGACTATCAACATCATATCAATGATTAGTAAAGAAGGCGAGACATTTCAGCGTGTGCACCCTTGTTAATTAAAAAAATTAATTTCATACTATATGATAATTTATTTAAATTACAGGAAATTCTTCGTGATAAAGGCCAACAGCAGGGGAAAGTATTGCGACCAATGAGAATTGTCAATCCTGATCAAGAAGAATACTGTGGACTTGTACAACCTTTCAATGTTGAAGGTATATTATATTGTTACTGTTAATATATCTTGTTTAACATTGTTAATATGAATATTATAATTGAAAATATTATAAACAGAAGAAATATAATGTTCAATTTGTTCATTACACATGTTTTCCAAAAAAAAAAAAATTGTATGCCCCGCCGTAGCGGAGGGAGCATTAAGTTTTACCCTTGTCCGTCCCTATGTCCCAAAATTGGTTTCCGTTCTCTAACTTTAACTTTAGTTTGCCTCAACCAAATGTTATAAAACTTATACACAATGCTTATTACCACAAAACACAGATCATATTTGAATTTTTGGGATGTCACTTTCACTGTTCTAGAGTTATGCCCCTTTACAAATGGAAAAATTGATGAATTTTTTGTTTCCGTTCTCTAACTTAAGTTTGCCTCAACAAAATGTTATGAATCTTTATATACACAGTGCTTATTACTACAAAAGAAAATATCAAGTTTGAATTTTGGTGGCGTTACTTTTACCTTTCTAGAGTTATGCCCCTTTACAAATGGAAAAATTGCTGCATTTTAAGTTTCCGTTCTCTTACTTTAGTTTGCCTCAACTAAATGTTATAAAACTTATACACAATGCTTATTACCACAAAATACTGTTCTTGAGTTATGTTCCTCTTTAATGTTATATGCAGCAGGGGCATCATCTGTGTCCCATGGACACATTCCCCAATTATTTTTTCAAATTTAGCAAAATGCTTCCTTCTTTAAAATTATCTTTTTAAAAAAAATGTTGGTGACCTGTATGTTTTTTTAACACATTTTACAATAAAATGAACAAAGCAAATAAATTCTTCTTCCCCTTTTCATTAATATTAAGTATGTTTAAGATGGTACTTAACACTACAGGGAGCTTACTCTGTAAAAATCAGCTGAATGTTTTAATCACGTTCTATTGTTAAGGAAATATTAAGCTTCTCAATGATCAAAATTAGTGTTGGTCAAACTGCTATATATCCAATGAAATTTTTCTGATAAATTGTGTGGTTCAAGTTTTTTGAAATTTTTATATTTTTGTCAAAGGGTCAAAGTAAATATTTTGTCAAAATTTTATGAAAATTAAACGAGCTAAATTAATTTTAGTCAAGGTGTTTGGTACCACCTTAATAGTAATAATAGTAATAAGTATCACCAGATCACTAATTAATATTTAATTGATTGATACTTTTATATTTTAGAAGACACAGAGCCTGAGGTTTATCCCTATGGAATAACAAGTCTTGCAGATAAACGGGATTTTCTACAGAAAGGGGATTCTGTCAAGTTTAACCTGGCTTTGAACAAGTCAAATAATCAAACTAGAGCAGTTAACATAAGTGCTATCAGAAAATTCATCCGATCTAAGGTGGACTCTGTAAAAGGACAGGTAAGTTTACCTGTGTATTACATACAGTTTTCATTATTAATAAAACCAGCATAGTTTTATATTATGATCATTATATTGAAAATTTGGAAAAAAGTTTTCAGAAATGCGAAATCTATAAAGGCAAATCAGAAAGATCTTTAATGATACATGCATAATGATAATAAAAGATTTGTTTTCTTGGATCATGTAAAGTTTTGTTTATTACATAGACATAATCAGCTGCTTTTAGTGCTGAAAAAAAAAGTCACCAGTGTCCTTGAAAATTCTTCAAAAATGAATTCATTCATCATGTATGCAAAATCTGGGCAGAACACTGAAATTTATGTGACCTCAAGACAAAAAGTTTGATCAGCCAAAACCTTAAAACATTTAAGAGCATGGGAACAAAAAACAGAAGAGAACAAAAATCATATTAGGATACAAGCTTATAATACCTCAAATTATTTTGTTAGAAGTATATATATAAAAATCATTTATTGTTTGTAAAGTTAAGGATCAAACCAAGAGTTCACAATCCTAATGTTTCTTAAAAACAGCATGAAAATTGTATTTGTTACAATAAAATGCTGATGGCAAATATTCAAAAATAATAAATTTCTTTACTTGTTAATTATGCTCATGACATCATTTTTACAGTTTGGTTTTCTGAATTATGAGAAAGAAGATGGAAAGAAGTTGTTTTTCCATATGACAGAAGTACATGATGGAGTTGAGATACAGCCCGGAGATGAGGTTGAATTTGTTGTTGTACAGAATCAGAGGAACGGAAAATACTCTGCCTGCAGTCTTAGAAAGATAACGTAAGTTTATATGGTGTCATATAATTTGTATGTTGTCATTAGGAATTAAAAAAAAAAAAAATCTCTAATTGGAACATTGTTTTAAAAAAGTGTTTTTAATTTCTGATACAAAATCCCTACACACACATTGTCAAAAACCAAAGCAAAGTATTGTTATGATGATCATATTCTCTTAATGTAAGAGTTTGAAAAAAGTCTGCCTTCTTTTTAGAAAAGTTGACTTAAGAAAATGAACATATGCGTAAATGTCAGTGAGACAGTAACCCAAAAACACAATAAAATTAAAAATAATATTAGTCATTTCTGTAAAAATCAATTGGAATCCTCAAAAGAAAAGAATTCAGTCAGTGACAACATTTATAATGGTTAATATGGTTGTCAATTTTCATCATTTCATTAGATTTATATCTTTTGTACAGAAGAAACTTTTTTAATAAGCCCATTCAGCCACATTATATTTTTACATTTTATATGATTATTTAATCTTGTAAAAAATACAACCATCCATCAAATATCAATGTAAGTGCCTACTGAACCTCCACCACCACTTTCAATTATCTAGTAGCCCTTTCCTATACTTGTAAATGTTATAAATTTTATCAATTACAGAGATCGCAGGAGACCAGAAAGACTTGTTAGTAGGTTAAAGAGCGTAACAGAAGACCTGTCTAGTGTTCGCATTGTTGTCATTCGTCAGCCTAAAGGTCCAGACGGCACCAAAGGGTTCACACAGACCCGTGTTCCATGGACTCCACCAGCTTGAACATTCTCTCGGCTATAATAACAAATTGTCAAGCATTCTTCAGCTTCAATACAGCATTTTATATATATCGTCAAATTGACAGGCTTTAACTGTTTATAGTGAAAAAAATTGTAAAAAAAGTCAGAGGTTTTAATCACAAATGTTACTTGTTAGTGTGCACTTGTTTTTATTTTACACCTTAAAGTGAAAGAAATTTTACATAGGATCAGAAGCTTGATAATAAATCCAATTTCATTTGACCCCCATTGTGAAAGCAGGACCAAGGTTAAGTCATTTGTATGCAATGAAAAATAATGAAAAATGTCCCCCATACCCATAAAATTTCCTTTTTTACCAGGCTTTTGTTTGTAGCAAGCAATGAACATTTAAAAAAGGAATGGAAATTCTGAATTTTGGTAAAATATTTAGATAAGATCATTTATAAAAATGAAAGGGGTCCAAATATGGACCCCTGTGTAAAATCAAAATCCAAACCTAGCCGATGAAACATACTTATTTACAAATTCTTTTTTTAAGAGTCTACTGTGTGCCAGTATATTACAAAATGTGATATTTATATTTATATTTACATATTAAAAAATGGGAAGAAAATAAAAGAATTTTCTTCAACCCCAGACATATATTTCCTCATACAAACATGTCATATTTGTAATATTAGTTTGTAAAAGGGTGGTAAAGTGATGAAGCCAAAATCTGTTTAGTTTGGTGTATAAAGAATATATTTTGACATTTTTTTTCCATGCCAGAATAGAAGGCTAATTTATTCTAACCAGAAATAAGAACTAATCAATGGCCTTACAAAAAAAAGTGTTTTAACTCTTATGCTGGAAATTCATAAAAATAGATCAAATTGATTGGTTTTGAAAAATAATGCATTGAATTTATTAAAAGAGAGAAACATCTTTCATTGAACATCATTAATCTTATAAACATGATAACAGTAATAGTTGAAAGGTATACCCACATCTGTTTAAAGATATGTTCATTGGTTTTAGTATTCAAGGTATGTTTTATAATCTGTTGATATGCCTAGATAAACATATTAATTTTGTATTGTTTATTTCACAGTATATATATTTATTTTAGGGAAGCATTGTTTCTAAAACATTTTTCATTTTTGATATGTAAATTTAATTTTCATCTTCAGTGATCATAGTTTTTGATGAGTTCAAGTTTTTCAGTTGACAAGTTACTTAAGTACATATGTTTTGCCCTAGAATGAAACATATTTATTGCTCAAAAATATGCCAAGCTCAAATTCATGTCTGTTGAATGCACTGTGATAAAATTTTTTTCTTCATTTTTTTTATTTCTACATATAAATATTTAAAAAAATGTAACAGATTTTAAAAAATTGAATTTAACAAGATTTAAGTTGGAATTATTTCACTGTTCAGTTTCTTAATTATCTAATAGTTTATTTTTCGGACAATACAACTTAAGTTAAAAATATTCCTGTTGTCTACATTCTGTTAGCATTCATTTTTTTATGAATTATCTCCCTTTAATAACTTTCAATGTTTTTATAACAGTTTATGTATTTAATTAAGTGTGAACTGCCTTTACCATCCTTTTACATTTGTAAAACAAGTCACAAGTTGATAGCTTGATGAATATTGATGTAAATTAAAGAGATGTAAACATTATTTCAAGTCAAGAGCCGATGGAAGTTGTTTCAAATGGTTGATTCCATTGAACTATGAAACGAAATAAAAAAAAGATAAAACCATATGTAGTTTTGTTACTTCTAAAGAAGCTATTTATAGTCTTGAACGTAAGAAAAAATGGCAGAAAAAGTTGTTTAAATTTATTTAAATAAAAGGATTTTTGGGGCATATGTCAATAAGACAGCAACTAAAATGACACATATATCCAAAAGACATCTAGAGGGCAACATACAGTCTTCAACAATAAACATGTCTAAACAATAGATCAAGCTCTAAATCATCCCCAGTCTATAACAATTGTGAATTAATTTAACAAGATCCATCAAACTGCTATTCAAACTGTATTCTCCAAATAACAAAAAACATTAAGATATGACATATCACAAAGACTGATGAGAATTATATTATAACCACATATATTCAAATCAATGAGGAGTAGAACTTTAACTAAAGATATGCTATACACCTCATTATCAGTCCATGTTTTTCTTCAGTAAAGAGTTCATTAAAGAGGTTTTTTTTTTTAATCTATTGAAATTTACACATGTTTTGAACCACTTAAATGTAATGGAGGATCAATATGGATATGGTATATCAAATTAGTCTTTCACATCTGTTGTTCATAAATCATTACATGATCTCCCATATGATGAAATATGACTGAAGCCTTAATGAGACAGTAACCTAACAACAAAAGCATTCAAACCGTACTACAGATTACATCGTATATAATTAGACTAACAAGAATTACCATAAATATTGGACAGAACAACAGTCCACACCAACCACAACTGACGGCCTCTCCCAAGAAATCATAGGTATAAACATTACATGATCCGGATAGCCTGACTTGGCGCAGGCATGTATATATGGAAAGATTACTATTATATACCCTTCAACAATAAACAAGATGTCCATTTTGTAAAGCAAGATTTTATTTGACATACTGAAACTAATTTAAATCCTTGGTAAATTGCTAAGACTCATGACTTGAATTTGACAATACGAAGTTCTGGAGATTGAAATTTACAGAAAGAACTGAGCTGACAAGATTGTTGGCCATTCATGTAAATGTGGCTTTGTTGTATCAGTTTGTGAATAATTGACTGGCACATTAGTACCTTGAACTAGGGCAGAACAACCTTAAAAAAGTCAACAATAAAATTAAAAATATAGGGGATATATTATAATACACCATAGTGTTTTAATGTGAATTACAACTTTATTAAGAGGATAAAAACTAATTGTTTAAAGAAGGCTGTTGCTTTCTCCAGCTATATATTTATGGCATCCATAACCTATAAAATTATTCAGAGAAAATTGATGTCTAGAAATTGGAGGGAAATGCATTTTAGATACCAGTAACATGTTCAAAACTAGCTTATATTGTATACACATAAAATTTTGTTAAACTTGATGTACAAAAAAAGAAAGAAACATTTATTCAAATTGTTCGAATCGAAAGGATTTGTGCGAAAACCCCAAATTGCACTAATGTCTCCATTAATATTGGTTGTTGAAGATTAACAATAATTAATCCATACATTAAATTCTGAATTTATCATGTTTATACCAATTGAATTCATAAGAATTTGTTCAGTACATAATGTTCATACTTTTTTATTATAACCTAGTAAAATATAAGTCTTTAACTGTTTCGGTAATGCATCTAGCACAAGTGCAAGTTTGTCTCCTGTAAAGTGTTGAAGTATGACCGCCCTGACTTGGAATTTCAAATTTAGCATAACAGGCAGTTTAACAGAAGTTACTGTCTGCTGAATCAAACCACTATTCTGTTGAGATTTTGACAGCCTATACACATTCACCATAGTACTGCAGTTTGACATTGCTGTAGAAAATATATTTGTTCCCGCATTTGTTTTGCTGCATTTTAGATTTACGTTAATTTTATATGAAAATGTTGCCTCTAAAGTCTCTGCTTTGAAACCAAATACTGCCACAAATGTGTTAACTGTAGGAAAACAAGTTAGAAATATTAAATCACAAGTTCTATCATACAAAAGTGATGTCTGGCAAAGGGACATAACTGTATTTTCTTCAGTGGAGCTGTCTGCATTATAATCGCCATCAATATTACCAATGCTGAAAGTATTTATACAATGATCTTTGACAGCTTTAACTTCTTGTGTTGTCATTTCATATATTCTTAGATGACATTTTGTTGAAATGTTATTAAATTCTACCATTAAAAGTTGACTTGGATATTGTGGAAGGAATCTGACACAGGTATATTTCTTGTCATGCAGCTTCGACTTAACAATATTACATATACCACTATTTACTGTCAAAAGAATGTTTGCATATCTATTCAATTTTAGTACAGTTTGTGGAAGTCTTAGTAAAATAAGCTTCTTGTCTGTGCTGATGTGACATTCGATTGGTGCCACAGTCATAATATCACGACTGAAATAACATACCGAATCCTTGAATACATTTACCGATTTTTCTTCTACATCCACACAGAAAAATTGTATGTGTGAAACTGTTGTACAAATAAATTGAAAAACATAAAAACTTCCTTTACACCCAATACAAATGGGCTGACCAATAATTCTCTTGCTAGTTATCTCCCTTGGCAATACAACTGCATTCCTGGTAATTCTACTTGTTCCGTCTGATTTAGGTACAAATTCTGTTATGATCAGGTCTTGACTTCCTTTATCAATTGTAGTATTTACAAGTTTATTTTCTACACAATGAGGTAGAACATATTGAAACACATAAGTAGGCAGTTTTCCAGAAGCATCCATCTCCATACTTGAGGCAGGTACAATAGAAGCAGCTACGGTGAATATGAAATATATATGTTATGAATAAATACATATCATGAAACTCTCTGTCACAGACAAACATCAATTACCATATCTTTTTTACTGAACATTGCATATATCTTAAAGAACAGTTAATGTAACACTTGAAGTGCAGGTCAAATAGAAGCCTGTTGTTGCTCTGGCGTTTGATGACCCTTTTTATTAGGACTTGTTGGGGCAGTCGGTGTCGGTTCCATATTATAAGGGGGACCTCAAGCCCAATAAATCCGCCTCTGATTAACATGGTTAACAAGGAAATTATTTGTTTAACTGTATGGTTTTCCACACCACATCAGAAGCTGTAGAATATACAGTGCAAAGTAACATGTAAAATACATTCATTTATATTTATGTAATTAACCAAAGGCAGATGCATGTTAGATCTGGAGTGTTCAATCCCATTATAAAGGAACTTTATAGGAGCAATATCCACTGTTCAGATTGACTCTGATTAACATCAACATCCAAGTTTGTTTATCATATTAACTAACTGAACCTCCAGTTTCATAATTTGTGAAAAGATGTATCTAGAAGAGTACATGATGGTCATTCTGACCTACAATTTATGCTTCCTTAACATGATAAAAATTTTATTTTACCAGAAAAAAGTTTAAAGATCTTTAAAATCTGGGTTCAACAACTTGACACAACACAATAGACACACTTGATATATAATCATACTTGAGGAACCAAGCTACCCAGTACTATCATTCAAAACATCTATTCACAAGCCAACAACATAATAAAAAATTTGTAAGGGTTAATCCGCTTAATTTTAGTTGCAGGCTCAACAAAAATGGGGAAATAATTATTAAAAATTTTCCTCTAGATACCATCTTTTGAATGTAAGAAGCTCCTGTTCAAGTTTGGTAAGAATCCAGGATGGTTTATGAATCTAATAAATGTTTTAAAAACTTAAACTGCAGACTGTATGTAATGTTAACTGGAAGAAAAACTAAGTCCATTTATAAGTAATATACAGAAATTTTTTTTTTTTTTACAAAATTTCCTTCTAGATACGCTTTTGATCATAAACAAGCTTCTGTCCAAGTTTGGTACAAATCCAGGATAGTTTAAGAAAGTTATTAAAATTTTGAAAACTTTAACCACATGCATGCAGAGTGAATATGTAATGTTAACTGGCAGAAAAACTAAGTCCATTTATAAGTAAAATACGGATAAACAGGTTTTTTTTTAACAAAATTTACTTTTGATACTATCTTATGATCATAAACAAGTTTCTGGTCCATGTATGGTACAAATCCAGGATAGTTTAAGAAATTTATTAAAATTTGAAAAACTTTAACCACAGAGTGAATGTAATGTTAACTGGCAGAAAAAACTGAGTCCATTTATAAGTAAAATATGGATAAACAGGATTTTTTTTTAACAAAATTTACTTTTGAATACTATCTTATGATCATAAACAAGCTTCTGTCCAAGTATGGTAGAAATCCAGGATAGTTGAAGAAAGTTATTAAAATTTGAAAAACCACAGAGTGAATATTTGTGGACGCCGCCGCCGCCGCCGCCGACGACGCCGACGACGGAATGTTGGATCGCTTTGTCTCGCTTTTACGACAAAAGTCGCAGGCTCGACAAAAATAAACAATCAAATCAATCAATCACAAAACAACAGCGAATAGGACATTTTTGCCTGTCCACACTTATTTACATGCGGATTGAAATTTAAAACAAAAACATGAAGCAATAACACATGTCTCAATATATATATGCAGTAAAATACATTTACTTATAAATATAACGCACACGATTCCAGTGTTGTCCTTGAAGTTGAGAAATGCACACGTTACGGAAGTTGTACTTGGAGCTCCTCGGTTGTTTTCCATTCACTGTTCAAGAAAACATAAACAAGAATATGGCAGGTAAACACGTGTTTAGTAAAAACTACGGCAAAACAGCAATCTATTTCCTAAACATTTTATTAAAATACATATGCTATTCTAACATATACGTCCCTGGGTATGTATGAAATGTACATATAAAGATAAGAAGATGTGGTATGATTGCCAATGCCAATAAGACAACTATCCCCAAAGTTCAAATGAAGTGGATGTAAGAAATTATAGTCAACCGTACAGCCTTCAATAACGGAAAACCATACCGCATAGCCGGCGATAAAAGTCCCCGATATCAAAAACATGAAACAAGTCAATTGAAAAAACTAACGGCCTAAACTTATATCAAATGTCCATTTTACAGCGTCCTATGCAAGAACTTGAAGAATTGTTGGTTGAGCTGTCAATGTATTGCATGCTGCAGTAAAGCTGAGGAACCGCAACCTCTCAGGTTGTTATGATATTTTTTCGACAAGTTGTGAACTTGTCAGAAAATTGTCTAAAAATATCATAAGGACATAAAGAGATATATGGGTCTTGACACACAAGTCATTGACCCAGGGTCTGTTTACCCTGATTTTTGATATTTTTACATCTTTATTTTTAGGTGTAATACCACCAAATCATAGTATGTCACATCCGGTTGCATAGGATAAAGGGTTGAAAAAAAATATTCCCTTAAATTTGACAGTTGTATGAAATTAATCCTACATTTCATTGCAGTAAAAAAATTCTGAGGGATCATAAACATATATCTTAGGTGTTTCAAAGCACCCTTATTTTTTTATTTGGTGTTTCTATAGCATATTTTGAAAAGTGCAAATTTATCAAAGACTAATAGGGGAAAATTAATGGTGGTATTACACCTTAAATGGTATTTGGTTTTATAATTCATAAACTTGTAGTTTATGTAAAGAAAAGGTAATTTAATGATTGGGAGAAAAGTTAAAAACATTTTTGAAATCACAATCTGTTTGACTTTTTTATAAATCTTTATATTTATATAGTGTTTAATCTCCATGATTGTTTAAAAAACTATAGCTTTCATGGTTTAATTTTGAAATTAAAAACTTTATAAAATAAACTAGAACATGTAGATAGCTTAAGATTAGTTCAAATGTAGGAATTGTTAATAAAAAAAGGTAATTTGTTTTAACAGCTTGTCCATGTTGTCTGTTACATTGACTAGGATGACTTCACAATGAATTATGCAAAGTATTCCATACACAATATAGTTGCCCTATTACATGTTTTACCTATAGTGTCTGGGAAACATATTGTGACTTGGATGGATAGTTGTCTTATTGACACTCATACCACATCTTCTTATTTATATTAACCATGAAACCATGTTCTATCACCAATAGACCATGGAAAGAAGGCCATGGTCAGATGGTACACCTAAAACAATCTACAACACCAGACAGAAGTATCCCTGTAAAAATGTAATGATATTAATACTTTAATTTTCTTTAATTACCATCAAAATTATCATTGTTTAAGAAATAATTCATGGGGGCTTGAATATATCGTGATTTTACCACGGGTTGGCCCTTTATGACAAATATTTTACCCTGAGCGATAGCCAGGGGTAAAATATCAGCATAAAGGGACAACCCGTGGTAAAATCACGATATATTCAAGCCCCCATGAATTATTTCGATTCTAATAGGACAAATACGGCAATTGTTTTGGATCGAAGCGCTCTAGATGAAGGCATTATTTGCCGTTCCCATAACTAAACGCACTATTAAATTGACGTAAAAGACCAGAGCAAACTGAATAAATGACATGCTTAAACTATTTACAATAACATGTTTAGATAGGTTTGGATGAATCTAAATGATAATTGTACTTATATGTCTTATATGTATACAAAAATGGCTTATATAACACATTTTTGCATCGTTTATTTACGTTTCCTTGTTGTGATGATTTTCGGTTTCACAAGCGTGTATTTTCCCGTAAAATGCTTATATTCTTACGTCATCGTTCTATGACGTCGGGCAGCTCATTCATAAAAAAACATATGACGCGGGAGTACGATTGGAACAGCCCAAACAATATATTCATATTTTACCACGGGTGTGTACTCAAAGCGTTTGAAGAACGTCATGTTAGAATATTACATATATTTTTCTTCTATGAAACAATCATATGAACTGTTTTTATATCAGTCTATTTAATGATTGTATTGGATTTCAAGGAAATATAAATATGTTCGACAGTTAAACTCTTGCCAAAGTGGGGCATACATAGTTGGCTGTGCATCATGTAGAAGTATGCAGCCACATCCGGTCAGAATAAATGTGTTAAATCCAACGTCTTGTGTAGAGAGAGCGCCATGGTATTTGCATTTTAAGAACCCTTGCAACAACTCTTTAAGGGTTCAGTAGTTGGCCTGTTGCAAAGCAAAATTCTGTCCCTATCCAGTTACAATGTATATATATATCCTCTATTTCCAGTTGCAGTCCAAATTTTCCACAAGTTCATCCAGGGCAGCCTCTATTGCAGGAACTAACTCTTGTATTTATTGTAACTTTTGTTATTTTGTTCTCATCCTGAACATGCATGAAATATTTGGCACTGGACTGTAAGCAAACATCAACCAATCAATCATTTCGTACCAAACTAAAAGTACATGTAACCTAATTAAAACATCTGAATTATTTTGTATATTAGTCTATTTATAACATTATTATATTGCATTTTATACCAAACCAATATAAACCTACACGACCAAATTAAACCCTCTGAAATATTTTTTACATCAGCCTATCTAAAAAAATAATTTGAACATTATACCTCATTATATTATAACATATATATTACAACACAATAAACACAATAAAATGATTATATGGGTGAACAGGGAAGTGGGCGGATGTTATTGTGAGCGAACCGACCAAGATTTCTGGTTTAAGGTGAACTGACTAATAAATGGACACCTTATAATTAGAAGTCTGAAAAAAGCAATGCCAAATTTTTCAAAGAGAAGTAGTCCGTGACTTACAATTTTATAGGAAATCCAAAGGCTTTTTTTTATTAATGTTCTTGAAAGGTAACACAATTGATAATCCATGTCATGCGATGGTTTATTTTCTTAAATGAAAATTCAAACCTGCCAACTTTTCAAAAGCTTCAGTGGGGATTTTAAACACAAGAGAACATAATGCATATCTATACATGTCATTAGTGTACTAAATTAGAAGATCAATTGTTTTGAATGAGAATACGTACCTTGACCTATAATGGTTTACTTTTATAAATTGTAACTTGGATGGAGAGTTGTCTCATTGGCACTCATACCACATCTTCCTATATCTATTAAATGTAATTTTTACTCCTCTGAATGTATTTTTTTAAAACATTTAGTCTAAATAATTGAGTATTATAAGGATCAGGTCAACACCTCTAATAGGGCATGTCCCCTATAAAACGGGAAAGTAGGCAGGTCTGAAAATTATGTAGTGGTAATAATGTTTTCCACTATTTTATGGGCTCTTGAAAATTTTGTGTCTATCAATTGTTCATATTTACCAATTGAGTTTATAGTCTATAAATTATGATAACCTTTTTAGTTTCATGGAATCTAAAAAAAAGATTTATAATAAAATAGTATAGTTGTACTTTCACGTTAAGATGTATGCTTCAAAGGTCAAGGGTTCACAATTAGTTCTATTGTCCAAATGCACACATACTCTCCGGTACTGTGAATTCATTATTATTTGTGGGATAAAAACTTTCATGGATTTAGTCTACCATGTTTACTACACATTTAAATGTTCAACAAAATACAAATTTATAATAGGCTTGTATGTATACATTGGCAAATCCACAAAATCTTTTATATGCCCGTCTAAGACGGAATGTATTATGATATACCATTGTCTATCTGTCCTTCTGTCCGTCCTTCTGTCTGTCCATCCGTTGTCAACACTTAATAAATAATAATAATGATAACTCAAAAACACTTTCCCCAATTTTCATGAAACTTTGATGAATTGTTTCTATCAATTGATATAAGCTCCCTTTTGATTTTTATAAATTTTAGATTTTACATTTTCAAGTTATGGGATTTTTTTCTTAAAAAATGTGGTATTTTCCAGTTTTCTGACTATAACTCAAAAATGCTTTGATCAATTATCATGAAACTTTGGTGAATTGTTGATATATATTGACATAAGGTTCCTTTCGAGTTTTTAAAGTTTCTGATTTTACATTTTGGAGTATTGGGACTTTATTCATAAAAAAGGGGAATTTTCTTGGTACTTGAAGATGAATTATCCTACTTGATCTTATTGTTCAGAAAAAATTTCTATTGAAAGAATTTGAAGACTATGAAGGTCAGCTCATTGACTATGAAGAGGACAAAGAAATCGATGAAAATGACGATGATGATGATGATGTATGGGATGAAGATGGAGATGAAAATCCAGAAGAAAATCAATGTTTGTTTTGTGAACAGATATTTCCTTCTGTAAATGAAGTTTTTACACATTGTGAAAAAGAACACTTTTTCAACATCATAGATATTGGTAGAAAATGGAAGTTAGATTGTATTCAGTATATCAGATTGGTCAACTATATCAGGTTAAAGGTAAAGCTTGCTGTCATAATTATTCACTGTTTATATAAATTCATTGATAAAAAAAAAGACAAAATCCCCAAAAGGAGTATTTTGATAGAAAGGAGTACGTGTCAATGAGACAACAAAACAACCACAAAATTACCGAAAGACATCCAGAGGGCAACGTACAACCTTCAACAATACACAGATTTGACCCTATCTTTGAACGTTTGTATTTTCGAAGTTGTGACCCTTTTCACAAAAAATCTTACGAGAAAAATTACTCGTAAGTCATGAATATTTCAGTAAAACTTACATGTACGATCCATTTTTGTGAAAAGAGCCCCAGGGGTTAAAATAAATATTTTTAGAATGGCCTTTTTTAGAGCAATTTTATGAATAGGAAAAGAAAGGACCTGTGTATTTTCATATTGTAAGTTAAAGCATTTTTTTAGCTCACCTGACCTGAAAGGTCAAGTGAGCTTTTCTCATCACTTTGCGTCCGTCGTCCGTAAACTTTTACAAAAATCTTCTCCTCTGAAACTACTGGGCCAAATGCACCCAAACTTAAACACAATCATCATTCAAGTATCTAGTTTAAAAAATGTGTCCGGTGACCCGGCCAACCAACCAAGATGGCCACCATGGCTAAAAATAGAACATAGGGGTAAAATGTAGATTTTGGCTTATATCTCTGAAACCAAAGCATTTAGAGCAAATCTGACATGGGGTAAAATTGTTTATCAGGTCAAGATCTATCTGCCCTGAAATTTTCAGATGAATCAGACAACCCATTGTTGGGTTGCTCCCCCTGAATTGGTAATTTTAAGGAAATTTTGCCGTTTTTGGTTATTATCTTGAATATTATTATAGATAGAGATGAACTGTAAACAGCAATAATGTTCAGCAAAGTAAGATCTACAAATAAGTCAACTTGACCAAAATGGTCAGTTGACCCCTTAAGGAGTTATTGCCCTTTATAGTCAATTTTTAACCATTTTTCGTAAATTTTTGTAATCTTTTACAAAAATCTTCTCCTCTGAAACTACTAAGACAAATTTAACCAAACTTGTCCACAATCATCATTAGGGTATCTAGTTTAAAAAATGTGTCCGATGACCCCGCCCGCGAACCAAGATGGCCGACATGGCTAAAAAATAGTGCATAGGGTAAAATGCAGTTTTTGGCTTATATCTCTGAAACCAAAGCATTTAGAGCAAATCTGACATGGGATAAAATTGTTCATTAGGTCAAGATCTATCTGCCCTGAAATTTGCAGACCAATCAGGCAACCTGTTGTTGGGTTGCTGCCCCTGAACTGGTAATTTTAAGAAAATTTTGCAGCTTTTGGTTATTATCTTGAATATTATTATAGATAGAGATAAACTGTAAACAGCAATAATGTACAGCAAAGTAAGATCTACAAATAAGTCAACATGACCAAAATTGTCAATTGACCCCTTAAGGAGTTAATGCCCTTTATAGTCAATTTTTTACAATTTTCATAAATTTTGTAAAATTTTGTAAATTTTTACAAAATATTTTCCACTGTAACTACAGGGCCAAGTTCATTATAGGTAGAGATAATAGTAAGGAGCAAGAATGTTCAGTAAAGTAAGATCTACAAACACATCACCATCACCAAAACACAATTTTGTCATGAATCCATCTGTGTCCTTTGTTTAATATGCACATAGACCAAGGTGAGCGACACAGGCTCTTTAGAGCCTCTAGTTTTATTTATTTTTAAGCTCATCTTCATTTACATACTAAATCTTTATTTTTTTTATTATATGCCATAGTTATTTTCATCTTTACTTAAAAACAATGCTGTATAAATATGCATGGACTTTTATCATAAAAAGGTTGCTTGAAAGGTTTATTTGTACTTGTTTGACAGGGCAGAACCGTTTCAGCTCATAATCATGTTGCATAAAAATAACTGTTTCTCTCTTTTTGTAAACAATCTAAATGGATTTGATTTTGATTTTTGATTTTTTGTGTTTTTAACGCCACTTTTAAGCACTGCTTTTGGGCTATTTCGTGGCAGCCAGTTTTTATTGGTGGAGGAAGCCAGAGAGCCCGGAGAAAACCACCGACCGTCGATAGGAAAACTGATAATCCTAGTCAATTAAGATTGGAGTCGAGTGCACCCGCAGGAGCGGGGTTCGAACTCACAACCTCAGTGTTGACTGGCTAGTGATTACAGTAGTAACTACTTAGACCACTCGGCCACCGAGGCCCCCAATCTAAATGGAAGAAACTCCTGTAATTTAAGGAAACTTGAGGTTAATGTTTAGGTGATTATAAGGAATAATGACGAAATATCAAATGCAACTTATTGTACAGTGTTGGTCATGTGACATTTTTCAATTGGACATGCTTGCACAATCTTAGATTTCAAGTTTAATTAAACATGTTAAAGATACAAATTTCTTTCAGAAACCGACATCTCTTGAAATTACACAAGTGAAAGGAGAGAAACCACCATGGGACTCAGATGATTACCTCAAACCATACAACATGGAGGATGGACTTCTTCAATATGGTAATAAGAATAAAAGGAGGTGTCGGAGTATATTCATAAATGAAAGAGTTTCCCAACAGCATAACAAAACCAAGGAATTTTTTATCAGATCTAAGTCCACACCATATGATAATGTGTGTCTTACTCATTTTGCAGTTCACCTTTATTGATGCTGGTTTTGAAGTTAGCAAAAACATATAAAAAGAATAAAAATGACAAGTTAACCTATGGTCTATACAAAAAAATATTTTTGTTCAAAGAGATCAGCATACCATTTATATTGGTTAATGTTGTTTTGGAAGGAAGTTTCGTACTTTAATGTAGGACATAATCGTTTTGAATTTGATGCATGGTGTGGTAAAATGAAAAGTGCCTTCCAATCGCCAATAATTTAATAATTTTTAGAATAAACATACATAGACTGTATAATAATCTACTTAATATATTTATACACTTTTTTCAGATATTGAATATTTCATCAGTCAAAAAGTTGGGAAAGATGTACAAAATGAAGCAATGAGTGTAGACTCAAATAACAGTGAACAGGGACATAAACAACTAACACCTGTTGTCATGACGCCATCTGAATATCATGGCCTCTGTTTGAAGTTGCAAGGAGCCAATGAGAGAGCAGAATCTGCAGAAACCGAATTGCAGAGGGCTTTACATGACCTACAGAAAATGAGGTAACTTTTCTGTTTCTTATGAAAAACAGCAGATGAAACCGTCATTAAATATATAATACAAAGCCCTTATTACAAAAAAATTATTGAAGGTTGAAGCTGGTTTATGAATCCATAATATATACAGTAACTCAGACCACCAATCAGAAACACCAATCCATTCATTAGTCAAAACCTTGTGTCCGCTAGAGACCAAATGATGTCTAAGTTAGCAACTGTAGGTCACTGTTTGGCCTAGAAAAATTAGCAAAACACACACACCATAGCCAGCTATAAAATGGCAATGTTATGTCAAATGTAATTACAGGCTACTGACTTGGGACAGGCACACTCAGAATGAGGCAGGGTTTACCAAGTTTGAGGGTGCCCTCCCCTAACATGAGACAGTGGTGTAACAGCATAACCCAAGAACAAACTATAAAATCAGTTGAAAAGGGCTTGACTCATCAGATCAATACAAAGCACAAAAACAACTAACACAAACACTAAAGACACGAAGTACAAATCTGAGACTACTCACAGTTACTAAAAGCTAGTCCAAAGCCAACTAACAACAGAATTGTGTGTCTAGGACTTGAAATATAAAATCAGTATAAGTTTACACATCCAATGGATTTATTGTTAAGATGTCACAAACAGTCGGAGAAAACATGATCTAAAGCAATTCCAAAATATAGATATCAATAGAATGTAGGACCTTGAATGTTCATAAGTATATATCAATAATAATTAGTTTTGTTTTAATATATTGATAACAAAATGTTTTTTATTACTGATAAAATGATATTCAATATTTATGTCATTTTTAGCTCACCTGGCCCGAAGGGCCAAGTGAGCTTTTCTCATCACTTGGCGTCCGTCGTCCGTCGTCGTTGTCCGTCGTCGTTAGCTTTTTACAAAAATCTTCTCCTCTGAAACCACTGGGCCAAATTTAACCAAACTTGGCCACAATCATCATTAGGGTATCTAGTTTAAAAAATGTGTCTGATGACCCCGCCAACCAACCAAGATGGCTGCCATGGCTAAAAATAGAACATAGGGGTAAAATGTAGATTTTGGCTTATATCTCTGAAACCAAAGCATTTAAAGTAAATCTGACAAAGGGTAAAACTGATTATCAGGTCAAGATCTATCTGCTTTGAAATTTTCAGACAAATCTGACAACCTGTTGTTGGGTTGCTGCCCCTGAATTGGTAATTTTAAGGAAAGTTTGCAGTTTTTGGTTATTATCTTGAATATTATTATAGATAGAGATAAACTGTAAACAGCAATAATGTTCAGCAAAGTAAGATCTACAAATAAGTTGTCATGACCAAAATTGTCAGTCGACCCCTTTAGGAGTCAATTTTTAACAATTTTTTGTAAATTTTTGTAATCTTTTACAAAAATCTTCTTCTCTGAAACTACTGAGACAAATTTAACCATACTTTGCCATAATCATTATTAGGGTATCTAGTTTGAAAAATTTGTCCGATGACCCCGCCTTCCAACCATCATGGCCGACTTGATTATAAATAGAACATAGGGGTAAAATGCAGTTTTTGGTTTATATCTCTGAAACTAAAGCATTTAGATCAAATCTGACAGGTGGCAAAAATGTTCATCAGATTTAGATTTATCTGCTCTGAAATTTTCAGACCAATCCGACAACCCGTTGTTGGGTTGCTGCCCCTGAGTTAGTATTTACAAAAATTTTGCAGTTTTTTGTTATTATCTTAGATATCATTATAATATCTAATATCTAAAACTATTAATTATGATTTTAACCTTATTTTACATGATTTCCAAAGCATCAGTAAATACAGGTGAGCGACACAGGCTCTTGAGAGCCTCTAGTTAGTGTCTACAGAAAGATAACATTAATTTACTGTGTAACTGTAACAGAAATACTTTGAAATTAGATTTTAGAGCTAAATAAATGATTTTGAAATAAAATAAAATAGTTAAAGGGATTTATTAAGTGGTGAAGGACTTGTACAGTCAATCATCGAATGCAATAAATACAACAGCAACATTGTATCACAGTGAGTTCAGAATTCAGAACAACTTAAAGGGAGACCTGAGTAATTGTTTTAATAACAATTTACAATGTATTGCATCATCACTGACATGAGGATGTTGTGTAATCACTCAATAACCAACACATATATATTAACAGAACTATGGTACAGAATTTGGTAATGTCACAGCCAAATGAACCAATCAAATCAGAGAGTGCAGTACATACTTTGACAGAAGATGAAGATGAGGAGTATTTTGGATCGTATGCTCATTTCAGTATTCATGAAGATATGTTAAAGGTAATTAACACTATATGCTGAAGGTATATCATGTATATATCAGGAGGAAATCTTAATACTGCAAAATGTTTCAACCACCAAATGACCACAGCAACGAAATTTGATACCAAACAATTTTTATTGTGTTACATTCAAAGTCAAAAACTGTGATTTCAGTTGTTAAAAAATTTTCAGCTTTTCCGTAGGTGATGTTAATTTGTGTTCACAATTTAAATAGTATGTTTACAGTATTACTGTAGTTGATCCTATTGTGATGAACTAAAGCTATTTTTACACATTCTGAATGCAAGAAACTCTATTTTCTTTTGATGAATTAGATTTCTGTTGATTTATATAATCTTATTTATCATAGATGCATTTGAAAAAATGAAAATTAATGCATTCTTGGTAATATTTTGTTTATCAAAATGATTAAGTTTGGTAAACAAGTCCCCAGCAACAAATAATTTTACAAAAATATAACATTATTTTAATTCTGTGTTCAAAGAATGAAATTACCCATGGCCGCAATCCTTAAGATTCTTGAATAGTGAACTGATTAGGATAGGCAATAGACTTATTTCTTTTCACATGTGAAAGTTGACCTATATTATACATTTTTGTTTGTTTTAAAGCAATTGAAGAATTTTCTGTTCAAATATCAATGAATAGATTTTTACAATTTAACATACCCTTAATAATAGCATCTAATCACATCATTGATTTTATGAATATAGGAGATTGTCAGTGCTTTTATATAATGTTTCATACTAATCATCATAGCAATAATGAATTGATCAGTTAATTTTACTCTTATTTTTGTAGGACAAAGTTCGAACAGAAAGTTATCGTGATTTTATGTACCAGAACAAAGATCTGTTAAAAGATAAGGTTGTCCTAGATGTGGGTTGTGGAACTGGTATTCTATCCATGTTTGCTGTATCTGCTGGAGCTAAACATGTGATAGCTGTTGACCAATCAGAAATTGTTTACCAAGCTATGGATATAGTCAGGTAAGATTTTCCATTATAGATAATTTGTCAATGTTTGCTGAGTTTACTAGAATTTCAAAATCAATTCTAGCTTGAATTTTTGTCGAGCCTTCGACTTTTGTCGAAAAAGCGAGACATAGCGATCCTACATTCCGTCGGCGTCGTCGTCGTCGTCGTCGTCGGCGGCGTCCACAAATATTCACTCTGTGGTTAAAGTTTTTGAAATTTTAATAATTTTCTTACACTATCCTGGATTTCTACCAAACTTGGACAGAAGCTTGTTTATGATCATAAGATAATATTCAAAAGTAAATTTTGTAAAAAAAAAATTTCCATTTTTTCCGTATTTTACTTATAAATGGACTTAGTTTTTCTGCCAAGAAACATTACATTCACTCTGTGGTTAAAGTTTTTGAAATTTTAATAACTTTCTTAAACTATCCTGGATTTCTACCAAACTTGGACAGAATCTTGTTTATGATCATAAGATAATATTCAAAAGTAAATTTTGTAAAAAAAAAATTCCATTTTTTCCGTATTTTACTTATAAATGGACTTAGTTTTTCTGCCAAGAAACATTACATTCACCCTGTGGTTAAAGTTTTTGAAATTTTAATAACTTTCTTAAACTATCCTGGATTTCTACCAAACTTGGAAAGAAGCGTGTTTATGATCAAAAGAAAGTATCCAGAAGTAAATTTTGTAAAAAAAAAATTCCATTTTTTCCGTATTTTACTTATAAATGGACTTAGTTTTTCTGCCATGAAACATTACATTCACTCTGTGGTTAAAGTTTTTGAAATTTTAATAACTTTCTTAAACTATCCTGGATTTCTACCAAACTTGGAAAGAAGCGTGTTTATGATCAAAAGATAGTATCCAGAAGTAAATTTTGTAAAAAAGTTAAAAAAAAATCCATTTTTTCCGTATTTTACTTATAAATGGACTTAGTTTTTCTTCCAGTTAACATTACATACAGTCTGCACTTTAAGTTTTTAAAACATTTATTAGATTCATAAACTATCCTGGATTTTTACCAAACTTGGACAGAAGCTACTTACAATCAAAAGATAGTATAGAGAGGAATATTTTTATTAATTTTTTTCCTCATTTTTGTTGAGCCTGCGATTAACAGCAAAAGTAGGCGAGACACTGGGTTCCGCGGAACCCTTACGAATTTTTTTAAGAAACAAACTTACCAATAATTTCAATGAAATAGATAACCATAGACATTCTTAAAATGCAAATTAACATAAATTGTATCATTTTCAATAACAAATACTGTGGATTCATTAATTCTTATAGGTACCAACTTTTGTGGATTAAATAAAATTTGACTTTTTCGCTGAAACTTGACTTGATGGTTTCTGCATACTTGGGATTCCTTTATTTTCATGGTTACCAATTTTTGTGGATTCAGGGAAATTTACATTTTTATGAATATTTGATTTCATTGTTTGTTGAAGTCTGCATACAACCCTATACAAAATTTATACTTTATTGAACATTTAAATTTGTGGTTCACGTTTACGAAATCCATGAAAATTGGTATCCCACGACTAAAAATGAATTCACAGTGCATGCCTATAAAAAAAATTTATTTAATTTTGTTGAACAATAAGATTTGATGTTTACCTTTATCCTTTATCCACGAAATCCACGAAAATTACTATCAATGAATAATAGTGAACCGGTGGACCACAGTAGTTTCATTTGTTTTATAAAGATTATGTAAATGTTTATGCACAATAATATATTGATGCCACTAATAAAAAATCTTTTAATATGAATTACAGTAGATGTGGGGTATACAATATACAAGTGTCTACAAAATTGGTCAAGGTCTAAGTACTTAGAGTCTAGACATGTGAAAAAAATTAAAAAGTCTCCCCATCAAAGATTACCATCAATACCTTATTCTTTGGGGAAAAAAAAACCAATTTATAAATATGGACAATTTTCCTGACCTCATACAATTTTATTCCAATCTTAATTGACTAGGATTGCCAAGTTTTCGTGCCAAAGGTGGGTGGTTCTCTGAGGGCACTGTTGCATCCTCCACCAATAAAAACTGACTGCCACGATATTGCCAACAGTGCTGAAAGTGGTGTAAACACCAACAATCTATTAATTGATCAAATGCCTAATTAATCACAATTTGTTTGAAAAAAATTTGATAAAATAACATGGGTCCTTTTGTGTGTATTTTGGTTATTTTTGTCATTAGGTTGCAGTCTTATTGAAGTATCCCCATTATCTTCTTTTATTCTATAAATCTTCAATTCAGAAGTTTCAGAGAAAATTCCTTGATACAATCAGTTAGTAGATTTTGATTTTTTACCTCAGAGAAAATAACCTTCAGGACAAGATAACCATATTAAAAGGCAGAATTGAGGATGTTAAGCTTCCTGTAGAAGAGGTAGACATTATAATATCAGAATGGATGGGATATTTCTTATTGTTTGAATCCATGTTGGATTCTGTTTTGTATGCAAGAGATAAATATCTGAAAGCTGATGGATCAGGTAATTATATTGTAGAAGAAGGTACATATAATAACATAAACGGTACCAGTTTTTCTGCACCAGATGCATATTTTGACAATTAATATCTCTTCAGTGATGCTTGAGGCCAAAATATTTGAAAATCCAAAACCTAATATAAATGTATGTACATTAAACACATTGTAACTCAATTTTTCAACAGAAATGAATAGAGATAGAGTGAAAATGATGCAACTCAGACCAGGCCAAAAATGTAGGAGTGCTTCTTTACATGAGTTGTTTTTTCTTTTTTTGAATTTTTAGTGTTCATCCCTCTCTACCAGAGACCAAATGACATAGAAGTTAGTAACTATAGGTGCTATATACAGCCTTCAACAATGAGAAAATCCCATAACCCATAGCAAGCTATTAAAGGCCCTGGAATGTCAAATGGAAAACAATTCAAAAGAGAAAACTAACGGTCTGACTTATGTACAAAACAATAAATGAAAAACAAATATGATATACAAATAACAACGAACGACATCCACTGAATGTGGATACATTAGAAAACATGAAAAAGGAGACTCTGGAAGCATTAAAAAACAACAACATTTTTATCTTACAAAAGTTGGAATGGTTGATTACAGCAATAATTTGTAGACAAAACAGACCATTAAAGAAAGAAAAAAATAGCAATCAGTCCTGCCTGTTAAATCTGTACAAAAACTACAGTGATCAAGAGAATTTAGTTAGACAAGTTTTTATACGACCGCAAAAATTAAAAATTTTTTGGTCGTATATTGGTATGACGTTGGCGTCGTCGTCGTCGTCGTCGTCGTCGTCCGGCGTCGTCCGGCGTCGTCCGAAGACACATTGGTTTTCGCACTCTAACTTTAGTTTAAGTGAATGGATCTCCATGAAATTTCACCATAAGGTTTAATACCACGAAAGGAAGGTTGGGATTGATTTTGGGGGTTATGGTACCAACAGTTAAGGAATTAGGGGCCAAAAAGGGGCCAAAAATAAGCATTTTTGTAACTTTCAGACAATAACTTGTGTGTAAGTGTATGGATCTCTCTGACATTGTACCACAAGGTTCCATATCACAAAGGGAAGGCTGTAATTGATTTTGGGGGTAATTGCCTCAAAATTTTAGGAATTAGGGGCCAAAAAAGGGGCAAAAAACAAGCATTTTTCTAGTTTCATGACAATAACTTGTGTGTAAGTGTTTGGATATTTCTGAAATTGTACTACAAGGTTCCATATCACAAAGGGAAAGCTGGAATTGAGTTTGGGGGTAATTGCCCGAAACGTTTAGGAATTTGGGGCCAAAAAGGGGCCAAAAAACACATTTTTCTAGTTTCCAGACAATAACTTGTGTTCAAGTGTATGGATCTCTCTGAAATTGTACTGCAAGGTACCATACCACAAAGGGAAGGCTGGGATTGAGTTTGGGGGTGATGAATCATAAGGGGGTTCAAAAAATTTGGGGGGGGGGATTTTTTTTTTTTTTTTTTTTCTTTTTTTCCTTTTTTTTTTCTTTTAAAATTTTCCATTTTAAGTTGGTTATTTCTGATTTATATTTAAAAGCAAATAATAATGATATGGTAGGAGATACACACCAAACAGGATGTGTAAATTATTATATAATAAGTATAGTGCAATAGCAAGAAATTTTCAATTGCACAGTATTGCACAATAGCAAGAAATCTTCAATTGCGCAGTATTGCGCAATAGCAAGAAATCTTCAATTGCACAGTATTGCACAATAGCAAGAAATATCCAATAGCACAATATTGCGCAATAGCAAGAAATTGTCAATTGTACAGTATTGCGCAATAGCAAGAAATATTCAATTGCACAGTATTGTGCAAAAGAAGATACTTCGTATAAATTGCTTATTTCTTGATCAATTTCAATGGGGTTTTATTCTTGAATTCTTGGGGTTCTTTAATATGCTGAATCTAACCGTGTATTAAGTTTTTGGATTTTGGGCCCCGTTTTTAAATTGGTCCATATTGAGGTCCAAAGGGTCCAAAATTTAACTTTGTTTGATTTCATCAAAAATTGAATTATTGGGGTTCTTTGATATGCCGAATCTAACCGTGTATTTAGATTTTTAATTTTGGGTCCCATTTTTTAAATTGGTCTACATTAAGGTCCAAAGGGTCCAAAATTAAACTTAGTTTGATTTTAGCAAAAAATGAATTCTTGGGGTTCTTTGATATGCTGAATCTAAACATGTGTTTAGATTTTTGATTATGGGCCCAGTTTTCAAGTTGGTCCAAGTTGGGGTCCAAAATTAAACTTTGTTTGATTTCAACAAAAATTGAATATATGGGGTTCTTTGATATGCTGAATCTAAACATGTATTTAGATTTTAGATTTTTGGCCCAGTTTTCAAGTTGGTCCAAATTGGGGTCCAAAATAAAACTTTGTTTGATTTCAACAAAAATTGAATATATGGGGTTCTTTGATATGCTGAATCTTACCATGTATTTAGATTTTTTATTTGTGGGCCCGCTATCAAATTGGTTCATATTGAGGTCAAAAGGGTCCAAAATTAAACTTTGTTTGATTTCATCAAAAATTGAATTATTGGGGTTCTTTGATATGCCAAATCTAACCGTGTATTTAGATTTTTAATTTTGGGTCCTGTTTTTTAAATTGGTCTACATTAAGGTCCAAAGGGTCCAAAATTAAACTTAGTTTGATTTTAACAAAAATTGAATTTTTGGGGTTCTTTGATATGCTGAATCTAAACATGTGTTAAGATTTTTGATTATGGGACCAGTTTTCAAGTTGGCCCAAGTTGGGGTCCAAAATTAAACTTTGTTTGATTTCAACAAAAATTGAATATATGGGGTTCTTTGATATGCTGATTCTAAACATGTATTTAGATTTTAGATTTTTGGCCCAGTTTTCAAGTTGGTCCAAATTGGGGTCCAAAATTAAACTTTGTTTGATTTCAACAAAAATTGAATATATGGGGTTCTTTGATATGCTGAATCTTACCATGTATTTAGATTTTTTATTTGTGGGCCCGCTATCAAATTGGTTCATATTGAGGTCAAAAGGGTCCAAAATTAAACTTTGTTTGATTTCATCAAAAATTGAATAATTGGGGTTCTTTGATATGCCAAATCTAACCGTGTTTTTAGATTTTTAATTTTGGGTCCCGTTTTTTAAATTTGTCTACATTAAGGTCCAAAGGGTCCAAAATTAAACTTAGTTTGATTTTAACAAAAATTGAATTCTTCGGGTACTTTGATATGCTGAATCTAAACATGTGTTTAGATTTTTGATTATGGGACCAGTTTTCAAGTTTGTCCAAGTTGGGGTCCAAAATTAAACTTTGTTTGATTTCAACAAAAATTGAATATATGGGGTTCTTTGATATGCTGAATCTAACCATGTATTTTGATTTTGGACATTGGACCATAATAGGTAAATTAAAAAAATTGAAGTTCTTAGACCACATTCTTTCTGTGTCAGAAACCTATGCTGTGTCAAATATTTAATCACAATCCAAATTCAGAGCTGTATCAAGCTTGAATGTTGTGTCCATACTTGCCCCAACTGTTCAGGGTTCGACCTCTGCGGTCGTATCATGCTGCGCCCAGCGAAGCATTTTATTCTTTACATGTATCTTTATATTTGATAAAAAATGAAAGTTAGTATCAATTATCCAGGTGCTTGTTTGTACCAGTTTTAGAACTAAATTCCTAAAGGCTTAAAAAAATTAAACCTGTGTTTCTGTTAACAGTTAACAGTAGGTAGGTAATTAATTTAATTTTTTCAAAAAGTTAGGGTTAGCATAACCACAGGTATTTTTGTTTAGCCCTGACCAGAAATAATAAAATAAGAAAAACAAATAATATATTTTGAATTGCTTCATCTTGAACAAATATCACTTAATTGCTTTATGAATATTATGTGAGATTTTTGTTTTACAACAGTATATCCAGATAAATGTAACATCCAGTTGGTAGCTATTGACAATAAAGACCTCCACGATAAACACATTTCATTCTGGGAAGATGTGTATGGTTTTAAAATGAGTTGTATGCAATCTGAGGTTGTAAAAGAAGCCAGTGTAGATATTGTGAAACCAGATAAAATTATTTCTGAACCTGCTGTTATAAAGGTGATTTTGATTTTTCTGAAAACAAATTTTTTTTTTAATTCTTAATAAGTAATATTTGGTCCTCATGTGATAAAGACTGATTGATGGCATTTTCATGTCATAGTTTTGCTTCTGTGTTGTCAAGGATAGAAAAACAAAAGATAGGTTGAAGATTTGTATCAAAATGAATTAGTTGAATTTAAGGATATTTGTATCAAAAGGAATTATTTGAGTTTAAGGATACAAATTGTATCAAAAGGAGTTACTGTAAATTCAGAAATTATTGCGTGCATTTATTATTGTGATTTTTGAAGAATGAACAAAAATGCAATTTTAATTATTGGGATTTTAGGAAAAGCTACACAAAGCTATATGTACAAGATATCAGAATGCAAGTTCTTATTTTTGCGATACTCAAGGAGTCACATTATTCGCAATAATAAAAACCTCGCAATAATTTCTGAATTTACAGTACCGTATAGCGGGTTATTTTCGCGGGTTTAAAATTTCGCGATTATCATTGAATAAGGCATACGAAATATTTTTGTGGTTATTATTTTGGCGGATTCAAAACTTTTATCAACACCTTTGCATGTACACTTTTAAATTGGTGGAATTTATTTTGGCGATTGTATTCTGTCCGCGAAAAATAAGCAAAAATTTACAGGATATTTGTATCAAAAGAAATTATTTGAATTTAAGGATGTTGGCAGCTCATATTTTCAGTGTTCTCTTTATCTTTTTAATCATTCTGACCTTTTCCTGTACAGTGCATACATTTTTTTCCAGCAGCCTCAATATGTAGTCCTCAATATTTTCTAATACTATACATATCAAATACATCAAGTAGTTATTTTAATATCCTTTTTGTATTTCCAACATTCATATAAATGTTCAGGAATTCCACATGAAGAGTAGTTAATAGATTATTCAAGTTGACCTGCTTTACCATGGCTATTGTATTTGAATTTCATAAAATGATTTTCCTCCCTACAATCATCCCTGTTGGTAGATGATGAGTTTAATGATCAATAGTTCTTTGCTCCATAATTTTAAAATTCAATTACAATAGCCATAGAATTACAAAATTCAATAGCCATGATAAAGCATGTCAACTTGAATAAATCTATTAACTAATCTTAATGTTCTTCTTGTACAACAATGTACCAAATAGTAGGGATAATAACAGTCATTATTTCTTAAATCAAAAGTAGGTCAGTTATAATGACTATATATTAAGGTGGCTGGAACAAAATTTATACACTGTACAGGAATTCTATGGAAACCACATAATTTTTTTTTATTATTACGAGTTTTGAAGAATTGGCAAAATTGCAAGGTTAATTATATTGATTTCAGTAAATATGCTGTTTACAAATAGTGCTATCAAAATTAAAATGTGAAACCACATTTAAAGATGCTTTTTCACAATCAAAAGACATCATGAGCCAAATTTTTTAAATATTTTTTGGTAACATTTTTTATCTTTTGTTTTATTGATAAATGTCTCATTGGCAATCATACCACACCTTCTTATTTTTACGTTGTTTTTTACAGTTAATATTTAGATACACTCTAGAATTAAACATTTTTTTTAAGACTTCAATAACTTTTATCAAACCTTCATAGAATTTGATGAAACTTTGACAGAAGCTTTTAAATGTCAGAACTTTTGTGAAAATATTTAAGTTATTCAGTATTTTTACTGATAGATATACTTTTTTTGGCAAATATCATTTACATACGATACATTCATGATTTTATTTAAAATATCAATAACTTTGATAAACAATCATGATGTTTCAAATTTGGATAGAAGCTTCTTCATAATCAAGAAATACCATCTAAAGAAGAAAATTTGACAGAACTTGTGTTTATTCTTCAGTAATTTTTCCTGATAAGTGGACTTTGTTTTAGTTTAGCAAGTCCACATAACACTTTTACACTGACATCAGCAAAAGATGACAGTACGAATACTAAAAATCCATGCTAAAAATAAGGCATAGGTACGTTTATTCAGTCATTGACACGCGATCTCGCAGGTGTGTTCTAGTTCAATGTAAAACAGGAGGATGTTAAATTAGAGATTTTTATTGCAGGAATTTGACTGCTGCACTTGTAGTATTAGTGATTTACAGTTCAAACAAGACTTCCAGTTGTCATTGACAACAAAAGGGGAGATAACTGCTGTCATTGGTTATTTTGATATTCACTTTAATAAAAATTGTGGCAATAAGGTAAGTAAATAGATGGTAAATTTATACTTTATAAGTTCATAATTCAGGGAACTCTGCTAAAATTGTCCATAATTGAACTGGAAACCTGTGTGCAGTGTATAAACAACCACTTTCCTACGGAAGTCAATATAACAAATTCTTTCAATTTAAACAATCCCAACAAATTTTCTGCTATTTTTAAACCTTCACCAAGTGGTAAACATCCCTGAAAAAAAGTCAAGGATTCTGAATATGAGAAAAAATAATCAAAGGAAATGACTCCAATGAAACATAACATAAATTTAGTCCACATTTTAGTCCACATTTTAGTCCAATGGGAATAGAAATATTAAACCCCAAGCCCCATGTAGAATGAATGTGAAGCTCTCTGTATGTTTAACACTTAAAACACTTCTCTTAGGGGGCTGTATTTGATCTGGTGTAAGGCAAAATTTCTATCCCAACCAATATACCCTAATTATTCTGTGGCAGTCCAAATTTACCTCCCTACAGCCTTGTCAACCTACCTATTAAGCATTATTTATTTTCCTGATTATGCATGAAATACTTGTCATTTGACATTAAGCCAGCAGCAATCAATCAACAACTTTGATTTAAATAGTGCACATCAGCAAGAACAAGATGCTGTAAAAGTTAAACTATATATAACTTAATATAAATAACAAAAAGCTGAGAGGGTGATAGAGCAAATTGTTGGTGGAGAAAATATTGTCAACCGAGGCGAAGTCCTCTCAGCTATTTGCTATTTTTAAATGATTACACTGAATGATCTGTCATTATTGTCTTTTAAATTGGAATTGAAAGTAGTTAACTATGACTTCTTCTATAGAATAACCATTTGTATTTCATAAACTTGACAATTAATACAGTGTGTCCATGGAGGGCAATAGAATATAAGTCATTGTAATGAGTAAATTACCTCCCTTGTATATATAACCAGTCTGGCATTTTAACATGAGGTATAAAAAAAAGGGATGTGATATGGCTTCAACCATCTTTTTTTAACATTATTATTTAAAAGGATAGGTTGGTAAAGTGTAGAAACTTGTTTCATGGTGTTTATATCACATCCCTGTTTTTTATACTTCATGTTAAAATTGTACATTTTTAAAGTAAAATGAGATTTTATTAAATAAATACTTACCATCATAAATTCTGAGTACATCCATCTGCGCAATTCTGACAGGCAGAAAACCCCAAATAAAAATATCATCCAATGAGAAGAGGGATGACCAAGCAGTGCCCGTATAACCATGCCTTTATATCATCCATTTAATTTCCTAAAGTAAGCAAGAAGCCCTAGGAAAAAAAACAGGGGATGAAGGGGAGGTTGGGAGGGACCTTTAATTTATGATGGTAAGTATTTATTTAATAAAATCTCATTTTACTTTAAAAATGTACAATTTTATGTCAATAAATACATTACCATCATAAATTCTGAGTAAAGTATAGAATCTAACGCAAAGCTGAATCCCCTGAACCAGAAGATGCAGGAGGAAAAACAACTCTTTGTGTGGAAACTAAAGGTCTTAAGGAGTACAAACTCTGAGCTTGAGTAGATAAAGACTGCAGATAGTGAGAAATGAAAGCATTTTTAGTTCTCCAGAAACCTGCAGATAAGACTTCCTCTAAAGAAGCGTTATTAAAAAGGGCCCAGGAGGTAGAAATAGCTCTAACATCATGGGCTTTAACATGCATACTATTCAGAAGTTCTTCATTAGAAGAGTTGTAAGCTAATTGAATAGTTTTACAGATCCAAGTTGAAATGGTTTTAGCAGACAAATCTTGTTTTCCTTTGTAAATAGGAATAAATAACCTAGAATTTAAGGAGGTGCGGAGACTCCGTGTTCTCTGAAGATATAAAAGTAAGACTCGGATAGGACAGAGTACTTTAGAACTTGAATCATCAGGAAGGGCTGGAATCACTATTGGTTCTGAACCTCTCCTCGGAATTTGATTTTTGGCTAAAAAGGCTGGATCTGTTAATAGAGTAACAGATGACTTATCCCTACTAAAACGAAGGCAGTGATCAGCAGTGAAAAAGCATGAATTTCACTTCTTCTTTTACCAGAGGCCAAGGCAAGAAGGAAACAACACTTATACGATAAAAACTTGATTTCAACCTTTTCAGCAGGTTCAAAAGGATAGGTTTTTAAAGCTGATAAAACTACACTCAAATTCCAAGACGGGATTAAAACTCTCTGTCTAGGGCGAGGAGGTGCGGAGACTCCGTGTTCTCTGAAGATATAAAAGTAAGACTTGGATAGGACAGAGTACTTTAGAACTTGAATCATCAGGAAGGGCTGGAATCACTATTGGTTCTGAACCTCTCCTCGGAATTTGATTTTTGGCTAAAAAGGCTGGATCTGTTAATAGAGTAACAGATGACTTATCCCTAATAAAACGAAGGCAGTAATCAGCAGTGAAAAAGCATGAATTTCACTTCTTCTTCTACCAGAGGCCAAGGCAAGAAGGAAACAACACTTATACGATAAAAACTTGATTTCAACCTTTTCAGCAGGTTCAAAAGGATAGGTTTTTAAAGCTGATAAAACTACACTCAAATTCCAAGACAGGATTAAAACACTCTGTCTAGGGCGTTCAAGAGTGAAATTCTTAACTAAAAGAGAAATGAATTCTTTATTACCAAAATCTGGACCTCCAGACAGTTGAATCGTCCTAGAAATAGCTGATCTATAGCCTTTAATTGTAGAGGGGATAATCCTTTCTTTTCAAAAAGGTGGATCAGAAAGTCTGCTAGTTGCTGTACAGAAATTTGGAAAGGATCAATTTCCTTCTCACTACACCAACTACTGAAGATAGTCCACTTGGCATCATAGACGATGTTATTGGAATCTCTAACTGCTCGGTAGAGATGTCTGGCTGCACATTCAGAAAAACCTCTCTCCTTGAAGCTATCCCTGAGAGAAGCCACGCGAACAGATGTAGCTTCTCTGGATTGGAATGAAGAATCTTGCCCTTGAACTGGGACAGAAGGTTGTGTCGTACTGGTCCAGTGGACGAGCACAAGACAGATGAAGAAGATCTGGAAACCAGGCTTGTTTGGGCCAAGCTGGAGCAATAAGAATGATCAACCCTTGCTCTGCTGAGATCTTCCGAAGAACTTCTGACAGAAATCTGAACGGAGGGAAGGTGTAAGCGAACATTCCGTCCCAAGGAACACTCATGCAGTCTACTGGATAAGCTTTCGGATCTGGTACAGGAGACATGAACACTTGAACTTTGTAATTGAGGCTTGTTGCAAACAGGTCTACATGAGGAGACCCCCACTGAAGTGTTATTGCCTGAAATACTGATTGGAGAAGTTCCCACTCTGTATTGACTGGGGTAAGTGTCCTGGACAGAGCATCTGCTAACACATTGAGTTTCCCTGGGACATGACGAACTACAATCTGTAGATGAAGGTGATTGCAAAGAAGGAGGATTTCTCTTGCTAAAAGGAACAGCTCGTAACAATGAGTTCCCCCTTGGTTTCGCAAATAAGCCACCACAGTGGTGTTGTCCGATGCTAGAACAAGAGATTTGTTCTGCAGTAGGGGCTGAAAATGAGACAGTGCAAGAAGAACTGCCTTCATTTCTATTATGTTGATGTGTTCCTTCAAAAGATCTGGAGTCCACACTCCTGAAACTGAAAGACCTTCCAGATAGGCTCCCCAACCGAGGTTGGAGGCATCTGTGAACAGAGTCTGATTTGGAACTGGAGAGGACAGAAGTTGGCCTCTCAAAACGTTTGCTTGGGAAGTCCACCAAACCAAATGAGGATACAATTCCTGATGAATGATTGGAACTGGAAATTCCCAATCCTGTGAAGCTGGGAGCCAATGTTGATGTAGATAAAATTGAAGAGGTCGAATGTGGAGGCGACCAAGTGGAACAACATCCGCTAGTGAATTCAAGAGACCTAGCAGTTGTGAAAACTGGCGAGCAGTAACTGTTTTTTGAGAAAGAAACAGATGAATTTTTGAACAAAGATTCTGAAACTTTTCCTGAGGAGGTCGAACTATGCACTGATGAGTGAGGTAATGTTCGCCTAGGAAAATAAAGTCCTGAGACGGAATAAGGTCTGACTTTTTCCAAGAGATGAGAAACCCCAGAGAGAGAAGCAATCTGATGACTACATCGGTATTGAGATAGAGTTTCTAGGGAGAAAGTTCCTTGTTCAGTGAGTCGTCCAGGTAAGAATGAATCTGAATAGCCTGTGAATGAAGGTGAGCTATGGCTACCTGCATGAGTTTGGTAAAGGCTAGTGGTGCAGTTGACAGACCAAAAGGGAGAGCTCTGAATTGGTAAACCCTTTTTTTCCAAACAAACAGAAGGAATTTGCGGTATGAATGGCAAACTGGAACATGAAAATAAGCGTCCGTCAGATCCAGGGATGTTGTCCACATACCTGGAAGAATAGAAGCTCTGATTGAACGATTGGTCTCCATTTTGAAATGGGGAATAATCATGTAAGAATTGAGGATAGACAAATCGATGACTGGTCTCATTCCTCCTGTCTTCTTCGAAACAAGGAAGAGACGAGAATAGAAACCTGGATCTATTGAAGATACAGGGACTTCCTCCACTGCCCTCTTTGTCAAAAGAGTCTCTACTTCTGTTGACAGAAGAAGAAACTTCTGTGGATCTTGAGTATTGGACAGTGGGATAGGAACAGAAGAAAGAGGAAGTTGCTCTTTGAATTGAAGAGACGATCCCCCTCGAATTACTGACAGAACCCAACAATCTGAGGTAATACTTGTCCATTTTTTTAGAAAATGAGTTAACCTCCCCGCTACTGGCAATTGAGAAAGAGGAGTTTTGTAGTACATCTCTGGATTGGGTTCTGACAGTAACGTACAAGGGGGCAACTTCCTAGGAAAAGGGATTGGCCCTCTTGCCACCTCTCTTAAAACTGTTAGGTTTAGACTTAGGGAATGAAGACTTCTTAGGTTTATTACCTCCATCATTAGTCATTTTCCTCCTCTTCTCTTGAGAATTATAAGATGAGCCTCCAGCGGAAGAATAACTAATTCGTTTAGAATTATTTCCAGAAAGAGATACATTCACCTTCACTGGAGCTGGGATTTGATTGAGATGCTTCTGTACTTCATTAAGTGGCAACCCGAAAATCTTATCATCTAAAGGAGACTTAATTAAAGCATCCTTAAGATTATCCGAAACCTTTGCTTTATCCCAAATTTCAGCTATTTTGGATAAAGTGCAGTTGGCTATAGAACCCATAATCAACAACTGAGAGGCACCCAAAGCATAGTCCACCTGTAATAGAAAAGGCTTGACCTCTGGTGGAAGAGAAGAGTCTTTAAGTACTGGAGCAACTGCAGATAAAAAATGTTCAGCAGTGCCTAAAACATGAGGCATTCCTGAGAAGGTTCTCCGTTTTGGACCAAACAGACTGAGAAAGACGCAGTCCATCGGCAGGTTTAGAAGCAATCGAAGATGAAAAAACCTTGTCACATTTAGGTACCAATTTACCCAAGGTAGAATCAAAGATATCATAATCTTTAGAACGGAACTGCTTAGTAAATGAGGCAAGCCCAAAACCACTCACTTGAGAAAATTGGGACTCATTAGCCACAATCCCATCATTGATGATCTGCAGAGAAGTAGACATACGGTTGGATTGTGGAAAACTAGTATGTGACTTAGCGTTGTCTATAGACAGACCACATGAAGCCTCGAAAGTAGAGGTAAGTCTCTTGGGTCTGGGAGGAGACTGAAATGGTACCTTGTTGACGTCTCTCATAATGGTATAAACCGAATCTCTAAGATCCTTCAAAGTAGAAGGAGTATCTTCTGCCTCAGGATCCTTACTGGAATTGGTAGAAGAATGGCCAATTACAGAAGAAGAGATAGACACAGGAACAGAAGGTTAAGAAACATTCCGAGAGACCTGAGCTGGATTATCACCTTCTTCATCAGAAGTAAAACCTTCTTCCTGACTGCCTGGGGCCACCGAAAAGCGTTCTTCCTCATCACTGTCCTCCCGGTCACTTCCAATATTATGATCTGGAAGGAGTGAAATCACTGGAGAATTTGACTTATTGGCAATATTCTCTAGCGTACCCAGGCGGTTGGAGAAAGACGTCAATTCAGAAGAAATAGACTGACGAAAGTCGTCCAGAATACTCTTAAACCCATCTAAAGAGGGGCCAGAGTCAGTAACCTGATTAAACTGATGCCTAACAGAAGAGGTAGACAGAGCAGCAGGTACAGATACACTACTACAACTACTAGCTGACACTGCTAAAGGAGGAGCAGGAACTGACAGATTAGATGTAGTACTCTGAGGAACAATAACTGGTGTGGTAATTGGTCCACAATAAGGCCAGAAACCTGGGAAAGGCTGACCAGGAACCTGACTAGGATAAACCTGATTAGGAAACCCTTGACCAGGAAACCCTTGACCATGAAACCCCTGACCAGGAAAGCCTGAATAAGGATAACCCTGAGACCAAGGAGGTCTAGACCAAGACATGGCGTTACTAGCCGAAGCAGGTAAAGTGAAGCCACAGTATGACGCTGGCGCTCTAGACCCAGGTAAATTTAGACCCATAGAAATACCAGGGTAGGATGAAATAGACCCAGTGGTGTCAACTGGCCTAGAAAAAGTGTGCGTAACAGTGGTAGGGACACCTCCATGATAACCGACAGAACCTGTATTGAGGGTCTGTTGACCGGTCTTAGTAGTCACCGAAGTAAAAACGTCGGTTAGTTGACTACTAATAGGGGGGTTCCCTGCCTTACCGTTGTTGCGGTAACAGTAAAGGGTAACGAACCGTCTAAAAAAACATCATTACCTGTAATGGCCTCGAAAGGACTGGAAGCATTAAACTCCATAATTAAATAAGTATGAAGTTAAATACTTATAAAATATAATATTATAAAAACAATAATTAATAAACAATGGTATGGGGATACCTACAATATTCACTATCGAAAAAACAAAAAACTTAAAAGTCTTCTCTGTAAGTTGTAACACGTGTGTCTCGATGCGCAGGCGGAAATTAAATGGATGATATAAAGGCATGGTTATACGGGCACTGCTTGGTCATCCCTCTTCTCATTGGATGATATTTTTATTTGGGGTTTTCTGCCTGTCAGACTTGCGCAGATGGATGTACTCAGAATTTATGATGGTAACGTATTTATTGACGTAAAATGCCAGACTAGTTATAAATACAAGGGAGGTAATTTACTCATTCCAATAGTTTATATTCTATAACCCTTCATGGAGACACTTTATTAATTGTCCAGTTTATAAAACACAGATGGTTATGAAAAGTTTGAAAAGGAGACAACTGTTTCTTCATAAAATTGTATTGTGATATGAAGATCTCTATTGTATACAGGTGATGTTTTCTACTGGACCTAGAGACACAGCAACCCATTGGAAACAGACTGTATTCCTGTTAGAAAAATTTATACCTGTACAAAAAGGTAAAGTATATTAGCATGTTTATGGTAAGAATGCTTTTTAGTTCATATGATGACAATACATTGTCACTTTTCTATGTCTACATATTTCAGTGTTTGGACGACTATATTGGATAACAAAATTTGATTTGTGATAAGATTCCATTCTACCAATAGATGCCTTTTAAATGTGTACATTTTCCTGTACATTTCCAGTGTTGCAATGCTTATGTTATTACATCACAGTAAGAATTGATTGTTCAATGATGTCATTTATGACAATTGACCTCTGGTCAACTGATGTAACTCTTTCATAAAACCAACTTTAGTTTGACCTATTGCCTTAAGATAAGATGATCAAATAAAACAAATTGAGAAACCTTTGTCTATCTTACAAGAGAGTTGCTGTTGGTAAAATGTACAATATGAATTAAATGAGATGTAAGATGTACAACAATGAGTAAACAATTTAGTCATTTTTAAGACAAATAACAAAAACATCTAGTGGTCTATATAAAAAAAATGAAAAGAAATATAGGTTCAAATGTTCAAATACAACTTAGGTAAGAAACTAAGATTTGCTATCTACATTTGTAGATATAATTTGTTTGACTAAATTTCAGACAAAGTTAATCAGAATTGATATTTTTTATATAATATTACACAGAAAGTGTTTGAAAATATCATTGAAATTTTATTATTAGTGTGTATGGTTGTACATTTTACCACTTATATTAATGATGAGTAAAGTCATAGTGTACTGTTTTATTTATATATGTTCATGCGTACCAAATTTCGTGGATTGAAGAAAAATTGCATTTTTGTGGATATTTGAATTTGTGGTTTGTCCAATTTTGCCTATATATCTATAGCATTTAAATTGGTATAGAAGGTACTGTATAGTCATTAGGTGTTAATTTTTATACAAGTTATTTTGAAGGAGTAAATTTATGCGTAAAGTTGTTTATCTCGCTCACCAAAAAAATAATGCTCTAAAGTTATAGTTATTAGCAAGGTTAAAACATAGATTAATTCTGTAGAAACCCATTTCTATTTTTGGTACTGTTTAGAACTTTCTTCAACACTTCCAGAACTATATAGCCTTTGTGGGATATCCGGATTTGGACAATTAATGTCTCTTCAGTGATGTTAGGAATCAAACGGTATTTGGAAGGCCATATGATTTACCTCAATTAAGGATAGACTCTTGAATTTTAAAGAGTCGAAGTAGGATGAACGGATCATATAAACCTGAAAGAAAATATAATACAAGCCCAAACGGAAAAATATAAATAAGTCAAAATTGAAAACAACATTCAAACCTATGATTGCGTTGGATAAAAACCACAATTTTTATATGTGTGCATGCAAAACAAATTTCTTGGTAGAGGGGTCTAAATACAGCACAAACAACATTTTTCAAAAGACCAAAAAAGTGAAAAAGTATATTTCAACAAAACGCATTTGACTAGCAGGTTGAACTACGGATGTTCTAAAACCCTGCTGACTGCCATTGGGGATTGCCAAATAAACGGATCACCAGATGTAACAAAATGGATCTTAACTATTACTTTAATACCAAACAGAAAACAATAAACTTGCGGAAAAGATGGTATACCGCAAACAAAAGGTGCAAAAATTTGTACACCATATCTGGATTTGGACAATTAATGTCTCTTTAGTGATGTAAGGAATCGAAACAGTATTTGGAAGGCCATATATATATATATATATATATATATATATACAAGTCTAAATTGAAAACAATGTTCAAACCTATGATTGCGTTGAATAAAAACCGCAATTTTTATACGTGTGCATGCAAAACAAATTTCTTGGTAGAGTGGTCTAAATACAGCACAAACAACATTTTCCAAAAGACCAAAAAAGTGAAAAAGTATATTTTAACAAAACGCATTTGACTAGCAGGTCAAACAACGGATGTTCTTAAACCCTGCTGATATATATATACACTAATGACATCTATATATACACTAATAATGACATCATGACTTTAGTTTAAGCATATATACACTTTGGTTGCTGACGTTCACCAATGACAAATATAACAGAACATACAATGATGGAATTATTTAGTCTTACAATGGGCCTTATTGGCCAAGACTGCAATCTAGTATAAATGATGATCTTAAATGAGTTAAGAAGACTATTTAAACATAGTGTATTTGCCCTTTCTTTCCTCAGCTTTTGAATGCTACTGCATTGTAATGGTTAAATTTTATATAATTTTCAGGTGATATAGTGAATGGCACAGTCTACTGCAGGAAGAATAGACAAGATCCAAGATCATTACTGATAACACTCAGAATACAGAATCAATCACAGACTTATCTCATGCAATAAAAAAAAATAAATACCTTTTTAATCATGTATTATTTGTTACTTCTATTTTCTTATCAATAAGCAACAGTTGTCTTGAGAATGCTGAGCACCAAAGTAAGCTGATTTATTTTGTTTGCTGTAACATTGTTGTCCCATTATCAGTCAGGGGAATTACTGAAATAAGTGATTTATTAATCACTCATTTAAGTAGCAAATTAGAAATTCTGTGATTTTGTAGTTTTAACAAAATTTTAAACATACAGGTTTAGATTATATGTAATTATTAGTAAAATTGGAAAAAAAATGAACCTTTTGCATCTATTAAGTAGCAAGGTTTATGCCTTTGATGCAACCATTCATCTGTAAATTCTATATTTGTCGAAAAAAATGCTATAATGAAGCTTTGCATAATGATTTATTAATTTCTTAACAGATTTTTCCCAGCAGTGGGAGTATTTTACCTTTAAAATTCAAGATTTCATCTTACAGATTTTGTGATAAAATTTTTCTGTTCGCGACCAAAATTTCACTGTTCGGGGGTGTTGAAATTAGTGGGGGATAATTAAAAAAATAATACTTAGAGAAGATTTTTTTTTTAAAACTAGAGGTATGGTACTTAAGGGCTTTTCCATTAAAATGTATGTGGGAGGGTAGGAAGGGACTTTCAAAATATCCCTACAACCAAGAACTATTTTTAGATAATTTTGCATAATGGTAATAGATGCATACTGAAAAAAGACGCATGACCCACATTCAATAATTAAACTTCCCTTCCTACCCTCCCACATACATCTTAATGGAATAGCCCTAAACAAGTGATTTTCATGTCATTATCCAAGATTCAGTACAAGGTCATCACCTGACATGACCGGTCATCCTATAAACACAGATGTTGTTTCTGATAATTTTAGCAACATAATTAGTCCCTGGATCATTAGTATTATATATTTAAAGCTACAATAAAATTAAATCACTTAGTCTAGTGATTTATTTGTACCACTTAAATAGGTGATTATTAAAGAAAGACAACTCTTTCTTCCAACATTTCTGAAAAAAATGTTACTTGAATCAGTGATTTCTTGTTCACTCATTTATGTAATTCTCCTGACTGATTATTGTACATGTATTCCCAAGTTCACCTTGTATCTACTTAACTTTTGTTGAATCATTGCAGCTTTCAAACTGAAAGCAATTGAGGAAAAAACTGTAAATGCTCTCATATTGAATCATTAGGTCACTTATCACTTAATTTAGAAGCATCTGTTTATTAACTTTTAACTCATTTTAGACTTTGATACTTGAGACTCAATTTCTGTTAATTTTCACATTTTCTGTCGTCTTAGAACCCCAAATAAGACAAACGTCTGTTATTGAAATGTTTCATATGTCTTGTTTTTCAAGAAACTTTGCTTTCTGATTATTTGTTTCCCAAATTTCCTCTATGTGATTACAAGGCCATACTGCTTATTCACTTATTTTCATTGGTATTTTGGTCGATAGAGGAAACATTGTATTTTCATGGATATTTAATTTCATGATTTAGTTTACTTAGTTTTTAATGAGATTTCTACAATCGAAATCATACTTTCACAGAATGACAATATATTTGTCACCACATTCAGATTGTTAAGTTTTCATATTACATTAAGCAATATTCCAGAATCACCTACATATGGAGTATGTATATATACCTATTGAAAATGTATTCTAGATGTTTTGTTGTTAAATCAGAATTTACTTGATAAAGGGTTGGTGCTGACAAGGAATCTACTAAATAAAGGGTTCTTAATGGTAAAGTCAAACTCATCACTTTGACAGATTTGTTCAGGTCATATACTGTGATTGTAAAACAAAAATGTGTATTTCAAATTTCAAAGCTTCTACTTCTGCATAATATACCACAACATTTTTTTATAGATACTATGTACTATGTACAATCTTGGAAAAGTTGACACATTTTCTATAGAATAAAAGCAACATAAAAGTTGCACAAACAAATGTCAATATTATAAAGAGAGATCATAGATAAAAATAAAAATGGAATTAAACCAGCATTTACACATTAATGTATAAATGAGCATCGATTAATCGAAAAACAACAGACAACATTTAGATAAACCTCCTTGGATGAACATATTAATAATATTGTAATTTTTAAAGGGTAGGATCATAAAAATATTTCACAATTTATTGCTGGTTACCTACTCAATAAATATTTTGAAACACTGCACAATGACTACTTTGGATTAAGTATATAATTGTGCTGAAACCCACAATTTGTGGACCTTATGTGTATGCATACTTTAATATCACAAACATTCTAAATGACACCTCTTTTATTAAGATTCTGATTAATACAAAAGAAAAATATAGATTGTTTTGAACTTTTATACCTCGGCTATTGTGAAAGAGGAGGGGCTGTGGTCAAAATTACAAGATTTCAAAATAAATGTGATTCCCCAAATGTAAATATTAAAAAAGAAAATATGTACAGAGATGCTCAAAACCAAATTAAATTACACAAGTCATAACACATATATTCATGTTTGATTAATTGAATAGTAGTTCTGATTTATTTGAATACGATATATTGGATATAATATTTGGGCAAAAGGATAAGTACTAGTGACAATGATTAAATAGACAATATTTAAAAAAACCCTGATTTTAAATTATTTTCATTAATTTGAATTTCAGACACATAATTTCTATATTAAATAAGATAAATAAAAAATATATATATACATAAAGAAGCGTTGTCCTCATGCATATTACATAAAAAATAAACTGGCCTTAATAGTCAATGTATTGATTTGTGATAATTTCGTTGTAGACAAGACATATCTTACATATGTGTATTTTGTACAGGGCTATAAAAACAGAACAACGAATAAATGCATAAAGTAAGATTGAAAAGATTATTATAGAAATATAAATTTATGAAAAAAATAAAACCAACAGAGATCAATTGAAACAATAAATAACATAATGGGACAAACACATTTATGTGACAGTCAATAAACTTGATATTGATGGCTGGTTTGAACTCGCTTGTTGAATATTTTAATTGATCCTAGGCAACGACTGTATATTGGGTAAGATCAAATTTGCACTGGTACATGTATCACATTTATTGGAAGACCATTTGAGACATTGTGCTGGGAAATCCAGACGAGAAAAAAAAAGAAGAACACCAAATAGCTCGCCTTTTTTTGTGTTGAAGTCACATCCTAACACACAAACAAATTTAGATACCAATCCTATAGAAATAAATGTTTTGTAATAAAAATAAAAATGTAGTTTTAAATGCAGGCTAAAATCATGATTTTGACCCTAAAATTGTTATTTTTTATCAATTTTGAATTAAAAGAATGAAAATTGTATTTTTGTGTTATAAAGATATTTTATATTCCTCAAAAGGAGTAAATTTGTTTTGCAGTAATCCCATATGGGTCAAAGCACATTACAAAAACGAAATCAACGAAATAAAAATATATTTCAGCTGTCTGTGACTTTATAAAGGTTGTCCTGAACATGAATGAAATGTTTGCAGCTGGACGTTAAGCAACCAAAAATCAATCAATCTTTATAAAGAAGTCGTTAGTATTGCAAAATATAGTCCACTTCAGTCAAAGTTTTATCTTTTGAAAAATATATCTGTCCAGTGAATTTGTATTATAAGTGATTTTGTAAAATCCCTGGAATTTCAGGAGTTCTGCATAACCACTAAAGTTTTTAGGGATTTTGCATGGGTATTTGACAAAATCACTGAAATAATAGGGAACTCGTATTTGGTGTGGCCTTCCAACGATTTTGATTAAAGCGTCTCTGTACGAGCTTTGTGAAAAATGGGGGTGACTTGGGCGTACTTAATTATTAATCTGGTATCCTTGATGATTTTTTTCAATCATGTGTGAGTGAATAGTTCCATTATACACATTGACAAATCCGAAAAAAAAAGATTTATCCTTGTTCTATCAACTTTTGATATGTGGGAAAAGTGTTATACATATTATTAAACTTATTGATCTCTTTGAATAATTCATCAGTTTCCTCAAACCATGGTTTCATTAAAAAAAACCAACATCATAGACCATCAGCTTATCTACATCTGGCGTAAAAAATTATAAGCGCCTGGTATCTTTGATGAGTTTCTACATAATTATATTAAAAAGTCACATCGAATTTATAAACTGTAAACAGTGTTGGTAATTGTCCTTTATATATTTTTAGCCACTCGTGACATCTTCTTGCAGTTTATAATCCTTTTTGGAAATGATGATTGTTCTGGAACCCTTTTCTTTAATTACATCTTTCTTAAATAAATTTATCTGAAACTTAAACTTGTTGCCTTTTCTTTGATTTTTGCAACAAAACCTCCGTTTTGCATAACCTCTTTTCAGTAACAATTAAAGACAAATACCTTGTTTTTTTGGTGAATTTATGATTTACGGAGAAGCTCGAAATTATGCAAAATGTTATTGAAACGGTTCGAAACAGTTGAAACTCGAGAAATATGGTTAAATACGAAATTTGTTTTCACGCTGGTAATGTGTCAATCACCATGGTTATGCAGCCACGAAATGTCATTTGAATAGTAAACGCCAGTGATCCACTAAAACTGAGAATAGAAACGGGGAATGTGTAAAAGAGACAACAACCCGACCAAAGAGCCGAAAACAGCCCAAGGACACCAATGGGTCTTCAACACAGCGAGAAAATCCCGCACCCGGAAGGTGGGCTTCAGCTGGCCCCTAAACAAAAATGTGTACTAGTTAAGAGAAAATGGACGTCACACTAAACTCTGAAACATATAGATGAACCAAAATTTAAAAAAAAAACATACAAGACTAACCCTGACTTGGGAGAGGCGCAAACATGCGGCGGGGTTAAACATGTTTTGTGAGATCTCAACCCTTTTCCTATACCTCTAGCCAATGTAGAATAAACAAACACACAGCAATATGCACAGTAAAATTCAGTTTTAAAAGGCCGAGTCCGATGTTAGAATAGGTAACAGAAGGAACTAAGCAAAATGACAAGTACACCAGATAAAACTGGAAAAGAGACACTAGTTAATTTGCAAAACTTTACGTCTAATATTTTAATAGATAGAAAGTTTAAGTTTTGTAAGAAAAATGTTTTTGACAACGTAATGGCTGGTGTCGATTGGATCAATATAATATACATTTTGAACTTTACAGATTGTTTTATTGTTACTCTTTTAATTGTTTATTTCATACAAAATATCGAGAGATTATTTGCTTCAGTATTGTCGTGATAACAGTTTTCAAAGATTTTTTTTCAAGTAACTGTTTCTTAATTATATATTTTTAAGTCTAACGATTTTATAGTAGTCAAGTAAGGTTAGTAGTAAAAGTTTCGAATTTAAGTATTTTTTTTTAATGCGAAAGTTTATGTTAGAGTTTGTTTTTAATTGAATAATCATTTTTGGATGTTGATTAATACTAAATATTGAAGTTAAGTAATTAAAAGAAAAAACTTTGCGTTTTCTTGAGCAACAGTGTTGTCATTTGTAAAGACGGATTTGGTGAACGATACTAGACTTTTTTTGGTTATATTAGTTGAGGCAGTGAATCGAATCAATGTGTTGCTTTAATTGTATTTCTATATAATAAGAACCAAGGGTTCTGCTGGTGTTATCGTTCATAATAGTTTGCTCTGTATAACCGACTATTAAGTGGAATACTGTTATCATAACAATACTGAAGCGAATATTCTCTCGATATTTTGTATGAAATAAACAATCGTTAGATTAATAATTAAAAAAAACAACACCATAAAGTTCAAAATGTATATCTATCGATCAAATCGACACCAAATACATTGTCAAGTACTTTTTTTCTCACAAAACTTTCACATGCTATTTATAAAAAAACATTATACTTATATGTACACATTCTAAGCGATATTATTACTGTTAGACATATTTTATCATGCATATCCAAACATAATTCTATGAAAAAAGTAGACGGAAATGCAATCATTTTCCGAATAGTCCATCATTAAGATATTAAAGTCTTTCAAATTATTCTTGAATGTTCTATCTTTCACAAAATGAACATCTGTGAAATACTAGTAGTTTATTTTAGGGAAATGCCATGAACAGATCTGACTTCTATCTTGCCGCTGAGTCTAAATAGCTTTAGCAAAGTCCATTATGATTAAGTCAGTTTGATTGTTACTATTGTTTCCCTTTGTCATTTCTTGAATAAAATATAGAAGTTGTGTTTCACAAGACCTTGATTTTCTGGTGCTACATTTGCATGTTTCCAATCCTTAGGTGTTACTCCACGCAGTTTCAAGAGACTTTGTATTAAAAAAGTATAAGTGAGTTCCTTTAGTTTGTAGGTAATGATGTTGTCTGAAACTTTTTTCTAAAAGATTTTAATATATCTAGTTTATAAAGAGTTTTCCAATAATTTATCTACACTACTGTTTTTGTATTTTTCTTGTATTGCTGTTTATACTTCAATAAGATTTTATGTTTTCCAATTTGGTTTTATTAAATAATTTTACGAGTTAGTGCCTTTACCATTTTCAACCATATGTCAATTTCAAGATATACTATATCATGGTCTGCCTTACCAATTGGTGGTGAAGATGTCATTTTTTTCTTAGATTCGGTCTTTGCATGTTAACTTGTCTACTGTTTGATGTAAATTATGATCGAAACTATGTCAAGAAGTTGTTGGTGTAGTTTTAGGTAGGTTCAATAATACACCAACCATTCTTCTTCTCAGGCTTTTGTGGGGGATGTTTTTTTTCAATAACAAAGGATCATTAAATTGGTTGTTAAAACTTAGTATTGTATTAATTTTTTCCATTATTTTCAAATTGAAATAAATAGACAAATAAATCAAAAAGCTAAAATACTTTTTAAATCATTGCACAATTTTATTAGTTTCGTTACAAAGCCATTGTAGTATCTACAACATTAACAACAACAATAATAATAGTAAAAACTAATATAGAAACCTTATAAAATGGTAGGAAGAACACGGATTAAGATACTATGTACTTCATTGGAGAGATTAGGACAACACATACGTAATTGGACGCAATCTGATTAAAATTAATGTCTCGTGTGCTCCTAGAAGCATACCGAAATCAGAGATCTATATTTTAAATAGATTGAATTGGGCAGTATTTCATATTATTATGCAGAACTTGATCCTTGAAACGCATCTATATGCCTAAAATGTTATGTGTATCATTTATATTTACAGCGATACATAAATAAATTCAAAAATAGAGTATATAAATGTATACATGTTCAATGTATGCATAAATATAGTAGCCTTTTATATCTATGATGCACGTTAGAAACGGCTTGAAAATGCATTCTAGTCCTTTTGAATTTGTCCACAGAATTGTGTTTATAAATGATATGTTATTGCTATAAATATACCCGTTTAATGATTCGTTTCGTCAATAGAAATCAATTAGTTTCGGTATATACAGTAAAAACAGCATTAAAGACAGATCACAGGAATAACTGTGGACGGAATTTTAAGAAAACACATTTTTTATAGACTGTTTTCATATTACCGACTTTTGACTCCGGAGTTTATCTTTTTTCGACAGGTTAAGTAAGAGCAATTTAATGAAGTAAAATCAAGCTTACACTCTTTACAAATTAGGGGAGAAATTTACTGTTTTATATTTTTTTACACGACAAAATCATCGGAAAACAGAAAACTTTCCCCCAAAATTGCACCGATTATATGTTTGATTTTACTTCTTCTGGTTGCTCTTACTTGACCGAGTACTAGAATGTCTTACCACAGAATAGGTAACCTGTCGAAAAATAATAAAATCCGGAGTCAAAAGTCGGTAATATGAAAATAGTCTATTGAATAAAATGTAGTTTTGTCGCTGGTTACTTACACTGTATACATTTATACAACTTTAGAAATATAAATGCTGCATATGCCATATTTTTTATACTTATATCAGTTCAACGAGTTCTAAACAGTCAGGTCAGGATTCTACTTTGTCAAAATTATCTCCCCATTACACCACCTATTTTTTTCAATCGCGAAAATGGAAACCATTGTATGGATGACGAGCTGTCAATTTATCTGTTGAAAAACGACGAATTAATGCACATAGTGTTATTACGATCTTTACATGACAGTTGTATTTGTATAAAACACAACTGTCGTATAAGAATCGTATCTAGCTATTAAGCACCTTTCAATGTACTTTTAGGCCTTTTCTCAACTTCACTATTTTCTGGTTGTCAGGGGGGAATTTTTGTACGTTAAAAATCAGTAAAAAAATTCTAATTAAATATTTCATGGAAGGGCAGACTAAAAATTTTCAGAGGTTGAAGACTAATTACCCTAGATAACACTCACACACATATGATATTATTTTAAAAGTTATGCATAAAAATGATCCACAACTAAAATCTGTCGTCAAGGGCTAAAGTAAAAAATGTAAGGGGATGTTCGTGAACGGTGAGTCCGACTTTTCTTTTTTTTTGCAAGTGAATAATTCGACCTCATTGAATCCGTATTCATGTGACCTTCATTTAGAGAGGGGTTACGTATGAATTAGGCGTGTTCAGTTATTAAAAGGAAAAGAATGTCAACATTGAAAGTGAAACAAGAGTAAACCATTTGATTGACTGATTCGACCACAAAAACTCATTCTTATACAGGTAAAAACGATGATTAACATATATTTTTAACCTATAAAATGAAATCTAACAGACCTAAAAAAATCCAATTGCACGAGTTCGCTATCTATCTATTTATATCTATATTTATGTTTTTATCGGATTATATGACCGTCGGCAGTCTTCGGAGGTCATCTCGATAGTTAATTTGATGGCGTCTAGACTAAAATACACACGAAATGCTGATACATATTATCTAGCCCATGCATTATAAATTGACTATTTTAGACATTTTATAATTTGGAAATATACGTACGTTTTAGTATGTTATAAATCAAATATGAGAATTTGCGTCAAACCGATGAACACGAATTTGACAGCTCATGCTCCTTTAAGATAAAAGTGAGCATCAATTATATAGTAGAAGACATTAGAGAATATTTAGACGAACGCATTAAATGAATGCACATTCATTTCTATTATAATTTTAAAAGATAATAAATGCTGTTGATATTTAAAAAAAACTGTATTGCTGGTTAGTCGCTTGATGAATAATTCATCGACATTCTAAACATGACAGCATGTTGGATTAAATCAAAAATGAAATCCCTTTTGTACAATTAAAAAATACCGAAATTCATTTGATGCAGCAAATGTACATTTGAAGAAGAGCATTTCTAAAAATGATGCTCAAAACAAAATTAAGAGTAAACAAAAAAATTGGAAATGTGTACATTTAAAAAACATAGATAAATGAAAATCAATCTGTTTTACATTGAACATAAACGAAACATTATTTTGGTGCATGTTGATTGATCAAATGATAGTGATAATGATCAAATAAAAAATATCTTATACACAACTGATTTTTAAATTATTTCTCCTCACTCAAAACACTCAATATCTACATATATAAAGTCATGTATAGTGAGCTTTACAACATGAGTGCATCTTTTACATTGTAATATCTACATTGAATATAATAAATGTCCTTATGAAGATCACATGAAAACTTTACTGGCCGGAATTATCTAAAGCACTGGATATGCCAATAAAATCGTATCCGTTTCAGGTAAAAAATAATATACATAGATGGCAAGCAACATTTTCTACAATGCTTAGCAGGTGAACGAAGAAATGTCAAAAGTCAGATAAAAAACATATCATAAAAATTTGAATGTACAGAAAACAAAACCGGGAATAATGGCCAACATTCAGACAAAAACATTTTTGCGACAGTCTTATAATAATTGATATTTGATGACTGCATATTCGCTAAGATAACAATTGCACCTGTATCACATTATTTTGAAAAAGTATATGAGTGAATGTTATGTATGGCATACAGAACAAATATATGCATTAGTCCAAGTTTCTATACAAAGTGTTGTTCTTACATCCAAGCACACATACAAATATAAATACCAACCATTCAAATAAAAACAATCATAACATTCTTTAAATGAAAAAAAAAAACCCTCAAATATACCCTTTCATAAAAAGGAGTAATACAAATTAAGTAGAAAATAACCATATTGACATACAATATTTTATTTATAATTAAACCTTATGTAACAATATTCTTTTTTGCACCTATATCTATAAAGCATGGAACGACTAAAGGGATAGCAAATTAACTGTTTTAACTAAATATTGATTTCTAGTTATCATATGACCATCTTAAGTTATGCATTTTGATGTCCTTACTCAATGATAAACTTTGGGTGTATACTAACTTAGAATACTTTTAGAACTAAGACATGTCCTAAAATAGTCTTAGGACATGTGTTTTTCCTAAGATACTTTCCAAAGCTAAGCCATGAAGAATACTATGTGATAGATGTGAGCTTTTGCGACGTATTTACATATATAGAATACTCAATTTATCATATATGAGATATGATCTATTTTTCACAAGCTATCCGATAAAATTTGTAAGATACAATAAAAATAAAAGATATCTCTTTTTTTATTTTATCAATATAAGTTCGATTTTCGTTTATAAAATATCGTATACATTATATGAAATATTTGTCTATTGTGAATTACATGAGATATTTCATAAACTCTATATAAAGATATCTCATAATTTATCATATACTTGTAGAAAATAATGGTATAATTGTACCTCTTGATAAAACTAATTTATACATATATTTATTCAATAAATTTGAAGAATTGTCTTCGCCGTGTGATATGACTTTTGTTATCAACTGCTTCCGGTGAAAATCAACTGTTTCCGGTTTATATCAACTGCTTCCGGTTATCATCGCATGCCTTTCTTTAACGTAATCGCAAAGCATTTCGACGTCATTCTGCAAATTCCGGAAAATAAACCTCAGTGGTACATTTAAGTGAAAAACATAGCTAAGTAGAATAACAGAATGAATATTAGGACACAGGAAAATATATTATTAAAAAACGCAAAACAAATAATACAATAACTGAATTTTATAAAGTTTTAAAAAAGTTTTCATGTCTGTATGGCTTCTGCTGAAGTATATGATAAAAAGAACATAACATGTCATTTTTCATATCAGATCCCTTATCAGCCCATGGTCAAAATCATCCCTCGAGCCTGTCGGCTCTCGGGCTGATATCATGACCTAGGGCTGATAAGGGGTCTGATATGAAAAATGCCATGTTATAATCTATATATAAAGAATACCCTTACCTTCGAATATATGTCTCAGTATGGTTCGGGTATTTTTTTTACATCACAAGTTGCTTAAGTTTCTTAACAATTTTAATTTCTTACAAACATGTACTGTGGATTCATCTACTTTCGTGGGTACCAATTTTCGTGGATTGAGGAAAACTTGTATGTTAGTGAATAGGAGATTACGTGGTTTAGACAACGTCTGCATACAAGTCTATGGGAAATTTGTACTTTATTTAACATTAAAATTCGGGGTTTGTCCCTACCCACTAATTCTGCAGAAAATTGGTATCCCACAAAAATAATGAATCCACAATATACAATACAATGATTGCATGTTTGTATAGTGCAATACCATATCCTATGCATCAGACGTTTGCTCTCAACATTCAGTGTCAGAATCTTTGTCATTTTCTGTATTATCATCACCTTCGCCATCCACCTGTAAAGGAGTATACGTAATACGTGAAAAAATAGCATGCATTGTTACAAATTATGGAAAAATTATAACTAAGTGATATATTTTCGGAAATGAATATTGATAAACAAATTTTTTTTATAAAAATGAATTAATCTATACCACACACTATTTCATCAAATTGCATACCTCGGTAAGGAAATAATTCACATTATTCATATCACTTGTACATTTAGCACTTATACTAAAAAATTATTTTAACTTGCCTCTGAACAATACTGGTGTTCATTTCCTGGTGGGTTTGTATCTTGTATTCCACTCAAGATATCTAAAACGAACATAATACATATTCCATTATAATTTCTGTGTCAGTTGGTCTCTTGTGGAGAGTTGTCTCATCGGCAATCATACCACATCTTCTTTTTTATATATAAAGCTTAAATTCCATTTGATGTAAAATTAACGCTAGTACATAAATAATGTTCAGGACAAGAAAATGGATGAAGGAAAATAAAGAAAAACGCTTCAGACGCATAATATTTATAAAGTGTTATTTTCATATTGTTGATGTTATATATCTGTTGACCATAAGATTCTCTTGTTTATGACATTTTTCCACTCGAGATAGAAATCTAAATGCAAAGAATAACAGTTTTTTTAACTCCATTCTCGGAGAATGAGCGATTTTGTTTTTCATTTGGAATGATACTCAATTTTTTTTATTCGATCAAAGTCGTAAAAAATTACATGTAAGAATTATAATCTTGTTTCAAACTTTGAATTTGAGAATTTTTTTTTAAATCCCAAAAATACCAGACGCAATTATCGAACACAACAATGTGAACATAAGCTTTACAAATCTTTTACCCAAAATTAAGAAAAAGAAAAGATTAGAATACAATTCATTAACTTTGTAGTTTGATATAGATGATAAAACGATGGCTGGGAAATACCAACTTTGATACCTTCCTTTATGTGTAATTTTACTCCCATAACAAATCTCTATATTTGTAATAAAATGGTGTAGGCATCTGTTAAAACGTTTAAACCCGCTGCATTTGTTTGCACCTGTCCTAAGTCAGACCTGTTGTTCAGTGGTTGTCGTTCGTTGATTTGGTTCTTAAGTTTTTCTCGTTTCTCGTTTTTTTATATAAATAAGACCGTTGGCTTTCCTGTTTGGATTGTTTTACGCTAGTCATTTTGGGGCCCTTTTTATGTTGCTGTTCGGTGTGAGCCAAGGCTCCGTGTTGAAGGCCGTACTTTGACCAATAATTGTTTACTTTTTACACATTGTGACTTGGATGGAGAGTTGTCTCATTGGCACCCATACTAAATCTTCTTATTTCTATAAAATTGAAGTTTTGATTAATTTATGAAATCTATATCTCTGTTTTACAGTTGTTTTTTTACATGGATAGAGTTTTGTAATTCAGATAGAAATAAGTAAAATCGACAAAATGGGAAAAAAGCCTCAGAAATGATAATTAATTTTTTTAAAGCTAACTCAAATATCCTATTTCATTAAGTGAAATGGGGAACGGATCGGCGGAAACGATGTATCTTATTACGTTTATTTTTTTTTACTGTGAACCTGTGTGGCCCTTAAAACGAAAGAGAAAATCGTTAACAGATAGAATATTATAACTTAAACTCAAATCTGCTGGATGATGATCAGATCTCGTGGCAGCAAACTCGTCTTTTGTGCAGCAGAAATGTCATAACTTTCTTTTCGTGCAGCAGAAATGTCATGACTTTCTTTTCGTGCAGCAGAAATGTCATAACTTTCTCATACGGAAAGACCAAAGACATGTTGATTCATAGTCAGAATAATGCTTCCGGGTATGATAAATATATAAAGATATGAATTTACAAGTTTCTTCTGGACATTAAGCACCCATCAACCTATCAGCAACCTTGTAGGTGCATCTTGTCATTTTTTAATATCGTCATTATTTTTATTATTCCGGTCTGTCAGTTTGCATGCGTTCGTACACACCAGGACTGAAATCTAAGCTCCGGTCAACTTTCATTATTATATTTTATTTTCTTCTTTAAAAAAATTTCAACATAATCCACGATACAAATGACATCACCATTCAGGAAGAATCTTAAAGATTTCTTCCTTCTTATGAAAACCTATTTATATCGTTTAAAAAAACCTTCGAAAATCCCCATAAATTTACAAATACAGTCTAATAATAGCAATTCCTTTCAAGTTTTCAATATCAGCTGATTCATGGGATAAAAATTAAAGTTAACTTCAGCGTTTGTTGGTTTAGTTTTTTTATCCGATTTTCACTTACTACTGTTGAGAACCTTTGACGTTGCACTGCCAAATCCACTGTCTGTTTCTTGATTTGTTTGCCCTGTTAATAAGAAACAAACCAAAAATAAACAGTACTAAGAAAAGATGTAAATACTAAAATAAATAAAAAAGTAAAAAAGAATGAAATCACATTGAGTTAAATATAGTATTGAATGATCGCGTTAAAAAATCGAATTGTTTCACATGTTCATGTTGCCTGACTTTCAGGTAACTATTAATGTCGAGCTTTGTACTGATCAAGCAAAAAGATTTCAATGTCAATACATATTCGTCTGTTGAGTAGTTGTTTCATTGTTATATTATCTTTCATATTACTAGTATTTTTCTGATGCTCTGATGTTCTAATCAAATGTCCGACTCAACAATAGAAGGAAGGGACGAATGAGTTGGAATGCCTTTTCGAAGGATTTTTTTTGTCCTGTAAATAAACATATTAAGCTTACTGTTTGTGTCTTATAATTTTATATGCATATGTATGTGATCAATATCTTTCATAGATTTGGATTTACAATATCTTAAATAGTAAGAATTATTTCTTTTCGAAGTATCCATGGCAACAATCTTTATTTATGTGACATCAAATATTAAATAAGCGGGGCGAAGCTGTTATCCAAAAATGTTTTCCAAACTAAAATTTGAATCCCTGTGAGTTTGTAATCATTGAAATAATTACTTGACCTGAATGACTATAAAAACAGTATTAACAAAAATACCGAACTCCAAGGTAAATTCAAAAAGGGGAAGTCCAAACAAACCGACAAAATCAAACGCTATACTTTATCAACCAAAAGAACGAGCAGAAAACAACTATCATATCCTGACATGGTACAGTTTCGAAGAAGATTTTCAAACAGAAAATAGTCAATAAAACATGAAAAAACTACAATCTTTATGTTCACATACACCAATTTTGACAACTGTCTTATTCTTCTGCTTTCTGAAAATCAATTGTATTGCACAATAACTTTTATATATGACAAATCCACCGAGTCCAAAATGCGAAATCACTATCCTAACTGTTTATTACTGTCTGTTGTATTCTGGTCTGTATATCTCGGAAGATAAGTAGAGGGATTGCAGGGTCTGTACTTTCATGGAAGAACGTGAAATTAAGGTAAAAACTGATTTATCCTATATAAAGAAAATGATCATAGAAAACAACTTGAACGTGATGTTTTAAATTGTCTTTCCTTTCATTACCTACTGCTTCTTAGATTCGGTTATTGATGTTTCGTCCTTGACCATTATTCATGACGAAAGAGTTGATTTCAAATTAACCAATTGCGAGCTTTTATTACCTATGAAGCAACATTCCAGGAAAACATGCATATGGATAATAGATCTCCCCGTTGAAAAGATATTCCCTGGTTTGCATTTCCCGTTATGATATCATTGACAGAGATTCCTGCTTACAAAGACGTTATTAGTCCCCTACCGACGAAGTCGAAGCGGACTTCAGGTTTGCACTCTGTCCGTCTGTCTGTCTGTCTGTCTGTCTGTCTGTCTGTCTGTCTGTCTGTCTGTCTGTCCATCCGTCAGTCCGGCAAATCAGTTTTCCGCACTTTGTTTTTGTCATGCTTGAAGAAATTGATTTGATAATTGGTATGTAGTTATAGTTACCGATCAAGTTCGAATTTTGTACTGGTCTGATGATTTTGTGCAGAGTTATGGTCCTTGGACTTAGAAAGTTCACTTAAATAATAAGTTTTTCTCACTATTGTTTTGTCATGCTTGAAGATATTGATTTGATAAGTGGTATATAGTTTTATCATGACAAGTTACAGATCAAGTTCGAATGTTGTTCCGGTCTGATGATTTTGTGCAGAGTTGTGGTCCTTGGACTTAGAAAGTTCATTTAAATAATCAGTTTTACACACTTATTTTCGTCATGCCTGAATATATTGACTTGATATCTGTTATATAGTTTACACCATCACAACTTATAGATCAAGTTTTGTTCCAGTACTATGAATTTTTAACCGGTAAGGGACTATGTAGTGCCATGCAATACTCTCAGAATGCTTGTTTAAGTAAGGATTTAAAATAGTCTTTTCGAAAGTTTTACGGATGCCATCATTATGTAACATGCATTATTTGGCACGAGTTGGTTGACCGTTATGGAATATCCGTTTAACAGATGATAGCGGATATGTCCGTTATGTCGTAACTACAATCCCCTCCCATTTTCCAGAATGTGACCTACGATTTAGACTTATTACCGGGTTTGTACTAACATGATCAACACGACGGGTGCCACATGAGGAGCAGGATCTGCTTACCCTTCCGGAGCACCTGAGATCACCCCCAGTATTTGGTGGGGTTCGTGTTGCTCAGTCTTTAGTTTTCAATGTTGTGTTTTGTGTACTATTGTTTGTCTGTTGGGTCTTTTTTTCTTTTTTAGCCATGGCGTTGTCAGGTTTTTTTCGACTTATGAGTTTGAAAGTATCTTTCGCATCTCTTTATTAACATTTATTTTATTTTATATCTAACTAATATGAATATAATAATTAATTAGGAATCTTACTCGATATTCCACAAATAGCTCTAATTTTTCAAATTGCACTTACTTCCCTTTTCCTCACGTTTCATAGGTAGATTTGCAAGTTCTTTCCATATTTTCGTGTTGTTTTGAAATTTTGCTAATAGAATCGTCACTTCATTGTTACCAGCTGCAATTTTCTCTAGTTTCCCTGAGATAATATCAGTTTTCTGTTCATTTAATGTTGCCTCTATAAGTTTGTCTTCTTGCAAATTCCGTATACGGGTATTAACCATACGCAATTGTTTTCTATATTCTACACCCAATTTTTCTATATCATCCAATGCTTGGATAGTCAAATCAACATCACTTTCGTTCTTACCCTCCATGTCAAATCAGTTTCATAATCATTTTGAATCTTGTAGGAAACATATCTAAGGTAAGCCATTGAGAAGGGGATTTTACAAATGTATTATCCAATAAACATGACTTCCTCTTTTCTTTCTAAATTCTATTTTAAGAAATATGTTGGAGATTTAAATCTGAAGGTGTAATAAAAATAACAATGTAACAGGTAGAAGTGTAGAAGTCACGAAAATTTGAACGACATTTAGTTGACGTAGTTATCATTTCTTTGTAAACTAGTATATAAAATCTGAAAAGTTGTGATTTTGTAATTATTACAATGTTTATATCCAAAGTGACTTAAAATGTATATACTCTTGTTTGTGTTCTGCACAAAATATCAAAAATGATAATTTATCTCAATGATCGGGCTAGTTAACTAATAATTAAAAGAAAATACATCACCGTGACAAAAAAAGTTCATAAGAACAAGAATAGTCCCTAAAATAATGCACTGAAACTAGACTTAGCAACACGAACCACACGTATAACTGGATAATGCAAACCCAGGTTCTTCTGTATCTTGAGTAGTTCATCATACCAAACATATTACTCAGAAATAAGATAGATTGTTGTGTAACATTTGATTTTATTTACATTTATGCACTAAAAACTAGGTGCACAATACAGCATCCTCAATTCTTCAGTAAATAACTTCAAGGTGATGGCAATACAATCTCAAGTTTCAATGTTTGTATACTTTATTGCTATTTTGAATTGCAGTATGAAACACATAGATGTGGTATAATTGCCAATGAAACCAATCAGCCATAGTTATAGCAGGCGATCAATTCTAGCTATTGTGCGTTGCTAGTTTTGTTTCTAGAAAAAGCACATAGATAATGTAAAAAAAACTCATCAACGATACCAGGCTTGTAGTTTTGTAAACCAGATGCGCGTTTCGTCTACAAAAGACTCACAAGTGACGCTCGAATCAAAAGATTTAAAGGTCAAATAAATGACGAAGTTAAAAAGCATTGTAAATGGCATAATGATTGAATAATTAATAAAAGAAAAGCCCTCCACTTAATATTTTCAAGTTCATATGCCAAAACGAAATATTTAAATTTTGCCACCAAATTATTACTGCTAGTGCATTTATAAACCAAGTTCGTGGATCTATGACTGTTGATATACTAGTTATGTTACAAAATAACAAATTAAATGCATTTGCCCACCCAATTGCAAAGTACATTATAATTAATAATCTTTTAAATAATATCTTGCTTATCGAAAGGTTTGATCTCTCAATGGCCTATATCCAAAATCCATTTATTCATACTTATCATTTACATTATATTTTTATTGAAAATCAGGTGCATGTAAATGATAACCATTGCTCAATTTGTCTTATAGTTTCATTGTCATTAAGCGATTTAGTATGACGTTTAAAAAAATATTTGCCTAAAAAAAGAATTAAAAAAAAAAGAATCAGGCGGATAATATATTATAAATTGGAAGACCCTTTATGACCCCAAAAAGGCTTTGCAAACATATGTGATTGTAAAAATTGTAACACGAATTATCTTTTACCTTACATAATGCTTAATCTCTAATCTGCTTCCAGTTTCTGATATGCCAAATCAATAAACTATTATGTCATACCAGCTAAATAGTATGTCATTCAGGAAAACTGATATGTTCCATATTCAAAGTGATGCATAATTCCAGAAGATTGAAAATTGCTTCGGGCCAAGGTCTCCTTTAACGGGTTTCGGCTGCTCTTTTTTACTTGTTTTCTCCCCTGAGCAACCCAAACCTCACAGAAGACCGGTGGGATATCTCAGGTGTACCGGGGAGGGTAAACATATCAGGAGTTCGCATTCAATATTAAGTCGCGATCGTATGTGATAAAGCTATTTAAGACTGTATTCCTGTCTTGTTATATCTTTGGCTTTAGCTCTGGAAACAAGAGTGACTGAAAAGTTAACTGGTAAGTTGCACTAGTTATACATTATTCAAAGTGGTTTTATATGTGAAAAACACAACAAAACGGCGAAATAAGCGTAACGTCATCGAATTGTATGCCGCAAAATTTCCAGTTTTTACTTTTTCACTACCAACTAGGATACAGATTGGTAAATATACCAAAAACGAAGTCGGTGATAAAATGATAAAATTGTCAAATCTCCAATTTCAAATCCATAGATTTTTATTTTTAAAATTATATGTTGTTGATACACAAATTTCCTTTTCAAAATGAAATTAAATAAACATGATGTCACCGATTTTGTTTTTGGTGTATTTACCTAAATCTGTTACTTTATGGGTAGTGAAAAACGTAAAAAAGATCGAAGTAAAATTACAGCTTACAACGCGATGACGTTACGCTCATTTCGACGTTTTGTGGTATTTTTAACATACTTTGAATAAAGAATATAATGAAAACGAAGTATGTGACCCAAATATTATTTTATATCATTAAAACGGAAATTTATATACCAATAACATATAATTTTTGAAGAAAAATCTATAGATTTGAAATTGGAGATCTGATGAAAGAAACATTTAAAAACATTTTTCGCCGATTTTATATGCATTCTATACAAATGTGCACATATTTTGAAAGAATTCAATCAGAAATATTACAGGAAAAAAAATAGATTATGTTTTCGATTTTCAGTTATAGTTTAACGAGCCAAAGTAGTATGTAAAGTTTTACCAAATTCTGCGACATAGCCCATTTACTGTAACTTGACCTAAACAAAACTTTTTCCTGCAAACTAAAAATGAAAAGCGTCTCTGCAGAAAATGTTACAAAAAAAGTAAAATAACAAAAATACCGAACCGCAAGGAAAATTCAAAACGGAAGGTCCCTTATCAAATATAAAAAACAAAAGCTCAAACATATTAAACGAATGGAGAACAACTGTCATATTCCTGACTTGGTACAGGCATTTTCTTATGTAGAAAATGGTGGATTGAACCTGGTTTTATAGCGCTAAACATCTCACTTGTATGACAGTCGCATCAAATTCCATTATATTGACACAATGCGTGAATAAAACAAACAGACATAATAGGTAAAAATGTAAAATAGGGCTACAGCAGTCAACACCGTGTCACAATCTTAATCACAACAAAAACGAACAAATATTCAACAAAGAAGAACAAAAAAGCATATATTACATTTAACAACCTCGTTCATTGCTTACTTATTTTTGTATTTTATTTATGTATGCCAAATCAACCCATAAAGGATCGAGGGATTTTAATCTCTGGGACCGAATCGTAATTTTAACATTAACTCTGGCGTAGAATAGCGTGTTTGACGTCAGAATGTAAACGTCACACAGGTAGAGATAAAAAATAATTTTGTCGTTCAAAGTATGCAAAAATTATAATAGAACAATAACACAATGGCGGGATGTTTAAAGTACAGAGACACGTCATATGTATCAAAGAAACATAAAAAGTCACACGGACAAAGCACACAAGTAAAAATGAAAAATAATACAAACAACACAATGACGGGATGCATAAGTACAGAGCCACGTCAAATGTATATCACCAAAACAGACCAAACAGTAAAAGTAATATTAATAAAGACAAATAAAAGAACACGTTAACACGTTATTAAGATGATAAACAGCGTCAGTACGCAGAATCTATACTTCAAGGCCATAATGTATTATTTGTGAAGTTGATACGGAATATTTATCAACAAGGTCTTGGTACCTTCCGATGAACTTTTTAAGAAAAAGGACGAGACGTTCTTTGAAATACCCCTGGTTCATAAATTTTCTGCTCAGACACTGGTGACGTTTTACAAAGTCTGAGTAGGAGCTGCAAGCTCTTGCATACCAAATAAGTTGGGAAATGTATATCCCGTAAGCAGGTGAAGTTGGTATATTGGTACTAAGGTGGGGAAAATTGATAATTTTAAAATTAATATCGTCTCGTTTGTCATAGATTCTGGTACTGAGATGACTGTGTATGTGAAATTCGAGGTATAAGTCTAAAAATGAGGCGGAGGAAGCCGTGTCTGTTGTTTCTTTAATTTCTAGTTCTGGGGAATATAATAATGGAACCCAATCAGAAAAGTTCGGATTGTTAATGGAAAGAACATCATCAATATATCTGAAAGAGAAATTAAATAATCTGGCTTCTTTGATTTTCTTGTTTGTGACAAGTGTCTGCAGGAACTCCGATTCATATGAAAATAAGAAGAGGTCGACAAGGAGAGGCGCACAGTTCGTTCCCATAGGAATGCCAACAATTTGTTGAAAAAATCTACTACCAAATTCAACAAAAATGTTGTCGATAAGAAACTCCAGCATACTGATCACTTGTTCCTTTGTGTAGCATGTTTTACCCTTTTGTTCGCTATTAACCAAATATGCCTTATGGTATCCCAAAGTAATAAATTTATAGCGTATGCTACCATTTTTATGTAGATTGTTGAGTTTTATTTGTCAAAGTTTGCAATGGCACTCATATTTACGAATTCAAGAATGCATGCTGAAAGGATTAAACTTGAATTCGTAAATTAGTCTATGCTTAACAATACCATAATCAAGAAAAAAAAAAACCCTGCGTTTTTCATCACAATGGACTAATGCGTCATCATTCAAGCTTGAAATATGCAAGATGTGTCTTTTGAATTTTTTTATATTGGTTTTCCTCGGCAGTTTTGTGATTTTATTACTACCGTACGGCATTTCTGCATGCTAAGATAGTGATTTCATGTGAATATTCTCTCTGTATTTTCGATATCTTTGGTGAATATTCTTCTTTCACTGTTTGCTTGACTGATTTCTATGTTTTATTTCGGATATGATCTTTTACAAGGTTCGTTACATTTAAAACAACCACAAAAAATAAAACAAAACGAAATTCACAATTTTATTCACACATAACAGGCTCATATTAACAACAATGAAAGTTATATTTTTTTCTGTTTTCTGTGACACTATTTATCTTCTATTTATTGACTCGCGTCGATACAAGTATCTCTCATACGTAGATGCATTGTCTTTTGCCACTGTTCTATCAGCTATAGAAGAATATATAGAGTTCAAATATACACTCTCATATATTTACATAGAATAATATATGCTCCGGTTACATGTAAAACTTTACTAG